GTACCATGGTGTGGGTGGTGTACCATGGTGTGGGTCGTGTACCATGGTGTGGGTCGTGTACCATGGTGTGGGTGGTGTGGTGTGGGTGGTGTACCATGGTGTGGGTGGTGTACCATGGTGTGGGTGGTGTACCATGGTGTGGGTGGTGTACCATGGTGTGGGTGGTGTACCATGGTGTGGGTCTTGTATCGTGGTGTGGGTATAGGTGGGTGTAAGTAGTGGGTATAGGATGAACGGGCAGACGGATAGACAGACGAACGGAGAGACGGGCAGACAGACGGGCGGGGTTTATTTCTGTTTATTTTTTTCCCTCCAGTGTAAACTTTCTCTACGTCTACTCATCTCTACACGGACGACACTTTCTATCTGACGACGAGCCCTTCCCCTCCCCTCCCCTCCCCTCCCGTCGTTAGTACAGTAGACGGGGCTCTATAACCACTATACTACGAGGAGAATAACGTTACTCTACCAGACCCTTAACCACTTGGAGTTAAGAGACAATAATCCAGTCTCATATAAACATTTCGATCCGATAACGTTAACCAGGATGGAGTGACGATATCGGGAAATTTAAAGATTACAGGATATCGGCAAAACATTAACCAGTCGCATAGGGTAGATGATAATGTAATGATATCGGGACATTAAAAGCCTTTGAGGATAATGTAACGTTAGTCGACTTTTAACCCAAACAAGATGGCATTGTTGTGTTGTGGCGACTTTAGCCACATTTGCGTCTTGTTGCTGTACGTGCGGTTAGGAATGTTTTTGGACAGTGTGTAGTGGTTGGTGTTTGTTTTCATGTGTGTGTGTGTGTGTGTGTAAAGTCAGAAAGCACTTGTAGGTTTATTTTCTCTCTCTCTCAGTGTGTGTTTGTGTGTGTATTTATATGAGAGAGAGAGAGAGAGAGAGAGAGAGAGAGAGAGAGAGAGAGAGAGAGAGAGAGAACACAAGGATATATTAAATAAACAAATTGATAATCTAAAAAAAAAATAGCTACTAGATTTAAAAAATAGCCAAACAATGACACTGAATCCCGAACCAGTGGAATGAAGCCGTTTCGTACTCATGAGTGAACCCGACAACTCGCCTTATGATAGAAAGATAAGTAACGGAAAGCGGTATTGACTATTTAAATATTCACTCAGTTATTATTTACTGTAGATAAGAGGAACACACGAGGAGACATTTTACACTTGTTGATTCACTTTGTTCTTATCAGTTCACACTTTTTTTGTTATCTTGTTCTTTCTCTTTTTCCTCTGTTATTTCCATCTTCCTGTTCCTTCTATTTCTTTTTCATTTAGTTGTTTGTATAACTTAACCCACACATCATACCCTTCTTTCGGCAAGTGAGTGTATGTGGATGTAGGTGGTGGGTATAGGTGGGTGTAAGTGGTGGGTATAGGTGTGTAGGTGGTGGTTGTAAGTGGTGGGTATAGGTGTGTAGGTGGTGGGTATAGGTGTGTATATAGGTGTGTAGGTGGGTATAGATGGGTGTAAGTGGTGGGTATAGGTGGGTGTAAGTGGTGGGTATAGGTGTGTAGGTGGGTATAGGTGGGTGTAAGTGGTGGGTATAGGTGTGTAGGTGGGTATAGGTGGGTGGGGTGGGCGTGCTGGAGAAAGCCGACACAAGCCCCCAGGTCCGGGTTCGTCGTACTGTACTAGGCAAACGTCCACCGCCACTCTCCTCTCTCTTCCTAACTTTCTCTGCTACTGCTCTCATCCATGGTCTCACCCATGGCCTTCCTTCTTCCTCCCTCCTCCTTCTTGACTTTCTCTGCTACTGCTCTCACCCATGGTCTTCCTTCCTTCCTTCTTTTTTCTTCTCCTTGACTTTCTCTGCTACTGCTCTTGGTCTTCCTTCCTTCCTTCCTTCCTTCCTTCTTTTTTTCTTCTCCTTCTTGACTTTCTCTACTACTGCTCTCACCCATGGCCTTCCTTCCTCCTCCCTCCTCCTCCTTCTTGACTTTCTCTACATACCTCCGTAAATGAAAGAATCCACAGCCTACACTACATTAACTAACTAACTTATACTATCTTAACGAAACAAACCTAACCTAACCTAAAATTACTGAACGAAAACTGCCAACCCACTAACCTAACAACCGAAGATAACAAGGCTAACTAGTCTAAACTAACTTATCTAATCTTTAATTAATCCAACTTTAACCACTAGGGAATGTAGGAGGGCTGGCGGTCACCCCATCCCCTCCTCCCCTAATCTTACCTTAGGAGCTCAGGTGAATTCAATAATAGACATATCAGGGTAAGCTAATTGAAGTTATATTAAATCAAAATAAAATTAGGAAGTTAATCTTGGTTTAAACGAGCCAAATTAAGGTTAAGTTTGTGAAGGTAGGTTACGATAGCATGTCTTTTAAACTTGTTAGAATAACCCCTGAATGAATGGAGCAAAAAATCAAGGATCCGTCTACAAATTATTATCGAACAAGTTATTTTTTTCTTTCATATTATTTGAATTCCTTAATCGTTTCCAATCAGAAGATCGCTGCTTATCATACGTAACGCCTAAGTACACTGTCGCCGTGCAATAAACAACGAAACATACTAATGAGGAAGAGTAGGAGGGTAAAATAGCGAATGTCAGTGAACGCCAACTTAGTGACTGAGCATCTCGGATGACTGAAAGGAAAAGTGGTTCTCGGGCCGGAGCATCCTGGTCGGGCTGTGAGTTTCTCTGGCTTTCATCCATTTCCATCTTTCCATCCTTACGAAAACGAACTAGATCTTTAGGAATCGTCGGGGATGTATTCTGATTATGAGAGTAAACTGATGCTGATGAAATAGAAAGGAATAAGTAGCGTGCAGGAGATAGTAAATGAGGAAAAGAAGAGAAAACAGGGGCGGGTGGTTCGGTCCGGCTGGTACTTGGCTCCACCCGACGCATCCGGGACGAGCGTCGGAGAAAGTTGGTGGCCGGCTGGGGTAGCCCTGGCAAGGTCGCTCACGGGGCGGGGAGGCCAGGCCAACCATGTCTCAAACCCCCTACCGAACACCATTACGTAGAAAATAACGCATTGATGTTTTGAAATAATGAAGCCTTATTATTCTATATTCTGTGTAGTACATTAGATGGGTGGTACAGCGGAAACAAGAGTATAGCTTACTACTGTGTCGTGGGGTCGAGTCCTGCTTGGCCCTGACACACGAGAGGGTGTGTTATACCTGTGACTGCCAAACATCACAGATCACAGGTTTCCTCGGGATATTCCTATTTCTTCCTGTACTAACACTGATCAAATAAAGTTCATAAAGTAACAGAGAACGAACCAATCGCCCGAACGGCTAGTAAGCTGATAATTGGTAAAATGATTAATGAAAATTAATAAATTAATTTGCTTTGAAATTTCGTACCATCCCACCTAAATTTGTACATGTGGATACTAATAACTCAAAATGCTGTACAGGTCATGAAATATAAAAATAATCACACACACACACACAATGATCACCATATCACACCGTCTATTGATGTTTCCCATCCTGTGTCCGGTTTCCAGATCCCGTCACGTCTAAGGTGATATTCAGTTTTCTCTTTCCCGAATAGATTTTTAAAATCAATTTCTTTATATGTTACTATATCTGCTTTGGCTCCTTTAATTATATATTTAAATAAACACCTTCGGTCTGTAACTGTTATATAAACAAGAGGAGCACCTGAAGCTGGGGCGATGATTCTTCTGGTGATCCAAACAAAAAACATTTGTAATTAATTAAGTACAGTAAAGATAATACCTGTATTAAAATTAAAACAGCTGTATGTGTATTCTTTTATAATCAGACTTTTAGTTCCAGTTCCACCACAAATTTATTAAATTGCTTCCAATACCAGAAATATAAAACATGCTAAAATAAATTACCTTTTGTCTTCCCCATAGTTGAGAGGCAGGTTGTTTTTCATGCCTTTTCTTCTTTCTTTGTGAATGCAAATAAGAAACAATTATTCGTAACTTATTTTCTGGGTCATTTTATTTTAAACTTGGCGGGCTTTCACCTTAGTCCTTCCAAGTATTCTAATAGTATTAAAATCCTTGGTGACGGTCACTGACGGTGAGGCTGGCGGGCACAAGTGGGATAACTTCTGGATAGCGTTAATAACAAACCTGTTTTATAAATTACCTCCACCTTTCTCTTAAAACGTGATACGGGTAGTCCCCATTAGAGGTTCACGGCGCCATAAGCTCGTTGAACAGGCTTTGTGTGAAATATAACAGAGTCTAGGACTGCTTTTAGTATCCTGGTGATCCAGAGGTAGCGTTCCCCGGTCACAGTCATGGGCTCGTGGGCCGTGGGTTCGAATCCTGGCGGGTTGAGGTGTTGATTGTATGTGAAGTCTGCGTGCTTTATTGGGCTAATGAAATATATATATATATACAGTATATATATATATATATATATATATATATATATATATATATATATATATATATATATATATATATATATATATATATGTGTGTATGTGTATATAATTATGTATGTGTACGTTGAATGCGGCGATAACGAAATATCGTGTGTATAATATTATATGTATGTGTGTGTGTGTGTGTGTGTGTGTGTGTGTGTCAAAGTTAATGTTTGTGTGAATTCCTTGTCCATAAAAGAACTTTAGTATTGATTTATTATTAAATTTATATTAGATAGCTCTATCAGTTTTGACTTACTAGAAATCCTTTGCTAAAACACAGACCTATAATTCTTGCAAAAGTTCCCTCGAGTTAAAGGTAAACATCAAAAAGTTTTAGGTTGGTAGTAATTCAGAGCTTCGCGTGTCTGTAATAAATATGATTTATAATAATTATCTCAATCAGTACATATTTCAAACAAACTTATATTTTGATCCATATTATACATATTATACATTATAATGCAAATAAAAGTTAGTTTTTTAGAAAATTTTGATTTTATAAGGGCATTATAAATAAAATAAGCGAATCGTTCCACGCCTTTATGATCAATATTTAGTGTCACCAAGACCGAGGCACGTAGAGGAGTCCGTATTGTTCCATGCTGCTGAACCTTCACAGTATCTTGCATGTGCAATGGACGATCAAGGTTCTTCTACACTTACTAAGCTAATTCTTAATAATTTTGTAAGTATGAATTTTCATCAGGTATTATTTTTTATACAAATGTGTTTCATCTGTAGACCGAATTCTCAGAAGACCAGTCTGGAGAAAGGAGTTTCATTAAGTGTGTCCACCTTTGGTTGAAGTATCCATTACAGTACTTAGATCATTCATAACTTAGACTCAGTATACTACTGACTCTCTGGCTAAGTGATCTTCATTTTTCGTTCCCACCAGTAACTGTTGGGAGTTTGTTCATATTAGGTAACAGGCAGTGTTCGGTAACCCTGCCGTGCCCAGACTAGGGACAAACAAGTGAGTTTTTATCTTTACAAATTTTTCATGTTCATCTACCCGGCACTTGCCAGGCAGACAAGCTAATCTTTTGAGAGGAAAATACCAAGGTGGGAATTTGTCGAGTGCTTCATCACCCCACCTCACTGTACATGTTTAACCAGGGAGGTCTTTCAACAAGCCGCTTGTCAGCACCTGCCTCTCAGTCATTCCATGTCAAGTTGTTAAATTTTTAAAAGAAACCTCTCCCCTCGTGTTGGTGGTGTGTGATATCACAAAGAAATGTCCCGGGTTCACGTTATCCATCTCTTTCAGGATTTTGAATGTTTCAATGACATCTGCCCTATTGTGCCTTGCCTGAAGGGTACATAAGAAAATAAGGAGTCTGCAATAGGCCGGTTGGCTTGTGCATGGCACAGGCATGGTAGTAGTCCTAAGGCCCTTAGTCTGTTTGGCAGGTGCTACCTCTGCCTCCCTATACACCCTGCAGGTGTGAGGTGAGGTGACAGGAGTTATGACTTCATTTGACAAGTGTTACTACCACTGACACTAAATTATAGGGAAGTAGGGGGTCGTGTTAGTTAGAGTAGTTTATCACAGGAGTTATAACATCACATGACAAAGGTTACTGTCAATGACACCATTTAGACAGATACAAGTGATCTGTGAGTTGATACACACAATAGCCTTGAATGTTTTATGATGTTTATCACATTTATCCTATAAAAAAATCTGGGCAAGTAAATTTTGGTAATAGTGGAGCAGACGGCTAACACTAAAAGGAGTTGCTTGATTTCGTTTATTCTTTTCCATGAATATTTATGGAGATATGACCCACTATCACTTGCAACAACAATGGATGCACCAAGTGAGCAGGGCTTTGAAGATGAGGGAAATTGTGAGGTTAAAACATACACACACAAAAAACCACCCATCGCAAACCTTTGACAACCAGACCTAACCTTTCCTAATGTGCAATAAGTCCCAAATTTACAAAAATTTACCTTATTTGACCAATTATAAGAAATTTGTGGAATTTTTTTATTAATGAAACATCATCAATGTACAACAAATGGGACTCTTAACATATTTTATGCCAAGGTAAAGTGGATTCTTAACGAGCTCTGGAATATTGGTGTGAGAGGTGTGCATAATCTGCAAATACGGTACCAATACAGTATATGTAAAATCCTGTGCATGAAACACTCTTGCTTGAGTTATGGTGCTGATAATGGAAAGGGCTTATGGTATGTTGTGAATAAGATAATATTTGGTAATTATTACTTATGTTGATAATGAAAAGAATAGCTTGTATGTATGACAAGGTTCTTATTTTTGTATTATATCCACAGATAGTACAGAAAAGACCTCTGGCACGACAAGGAAAGGATCATGTGATCAAGAAGCTCATAAGGCAGGCCAAGAAGTTACGTGAAAAGAAGACTGAAGATGATAAACAAAAAGAGAAATTTCAGCATAAGGCTGAGAGGCTTGTAGAAGAAGTAATGGCCCTTAAGGTAAATACTGTAGTACTACACGAGCCACCTTACTGGACTGTGGGAAATAACTAACAGGATGTGCAGGCAGCGAGGGTTTCATAATTATTGATATTATTTATATTTTCAGCCCATGCGTCCTGATGATGTGATAAAGTTTGTCCTCTTGAATAAGAAGTCATTTTCTTCAGTCTGCAAAAATGTAAGTTAAATATATTATATAGTACTTCATGCATTTTATAATTTTTTGGTAGTAGTACAATAACATACAGTAATTCATGTTACAGCATTTAATGGGTGTGAGCTAAGATAAAAATCCCTAACAGTGGCATACAAGTGACTTTCAATAATTTATTTGGCTAATACCAGATGATTTTATTCAGCTCAGAGGTGACCCCATACACAAGGGTTAAGTACTGGATAATGAAAACTTAATTGATATCTGTATTTACCACTTGCTTGTACAAGTTTATGTTTCATTAAGCAATGTATACTTTGAAAAATTATAATTTTATAGATAGACTTCAGGAACCTTTCCTGCAAATATGAGAACTTCCTGCATAAACCTTCAAGTACTAGTTTAAAGGTGTTCCAAAGCCCCTCCACTCAGCCTGCACCATGTCACACACAGCGAAGAAAAGGTGTTTGGTTCATCTTAAGCTAACTGACTCAAAGCCTGGCTAAGGCTTACACTAATTACGCCATGGGTTGGGCACCCCCATTTTTTCCTCCCCTCTAGCTTAGTTTTATCGCCCCCCAGGCCCCGTTGTGGGTCGATGACCTGTGCCCAGGTGGCTATTCCCCGTAAAAAAAAAATGCTTTAGTATATTACTTTTGTTTATTTTATTGTAAGCTATGATTCTACTACAAGCATTTGCTGCAGCTCAGGATGTGCTAAGTACGTACTATATTCTAGTGTGTGAATGTGCGCTGTAGCTGCACTCTTGAAGTTCCTTATTTACTTATTTCTCCAGCAATAAAACAGCAAAGTATTGACTCAAGACTCTTAGTGACACTCGCTGGCACAGTCATTATGAAGCAGCGCGAGCTGTTGGCAGAAGTTGTCAACAGTTCTGTAATTTGCTTTGTGATATGGGTGAAGACACATCTCAGGCTTTTTTTTTTCACATTGTCAGAGATTAAGGTCACTATTGCTAACAAACTGCTGAGGGGTCTGTTTTGCCTTTTGCATGCTTTTTTGAATTCATGAAATAAGGCTGGAACAGTTTTGAGAATACAGCGGGTATTAACCAAATCATATTTTACTGTATTCTCTGAAAATATCTTCCCTACAGCCAAAAGCAAAGATGGAGGAAAGAGCTCTGTGTCGTCTTGCAGAGCATAAAGGTATTAGCACTGCCATCAGTAAATTACGTGAGCAGTATCCAAACTGGAATGAAGAGGTTCCACTTATTATAAAGGTTAGTAATATATAATAAAGAAAATTTATATAATCTTTAGCAGTTTACAAATTCAGTTCTAGGTGGTAAAAACTAGAGAATATTTATTTTTCCTGTGATTGGGGTCAAAAACTCCAATACAATAGTGTATATTCAATGATTAGACTATACTGGAGTCTCAAAAGAAGTCATCCTATTAAGAAATTACCCTAAAAAAGAAGTTGTGAGTTTTTGTGTGAGAATAACGAGATGTTTATATCTATTCATTTATTAACATGTAAATTACAAAGCATTCTAAACTGATCGACCACCTTAGATCTCCGTCACCCTCTGCACAACACGGTCATTCTGTTCCTGCTCTTACCTTGAGGGCAGCTAAATGTTTTCTTTGTAATGTTAGTCTTTTATATAGGGTGTTACATGGCCTAAAGACTGAGATACTTAAGTGGACTTTTAGGGTTTCCTGGTTTAATGACTGAAGTTTTTAGTTAATTAGGTGATTGGTTATTAAGAGGTAATCGTGGATTGTCTTGGCATGTACTGGGTATTCTCGGGAAAGTTCTGAGTCAAATGTTTACGCCAGGTATCCCACCTTGGGGGTACCATATCTGGATATGTATTACATTATGTTCTGTCAGTTTACTCTTTGCTCTTTTCTATTCATTCTGGAATACACTGGAATCCATCAGAGAATGTGATAATCAACTAATCCAAACTGGATCATTCATTGAGAATGAATGTATCACTTAATCCTGTTATAATTCAGTTGCACTTAATGGTTTAAAAAAATTTATTGTCATAACATCTTGCAACATGAAATTTATGGTTTTATTAGTTCCTTTTTAAACATTTATTGTACATTGGTTTGTTCTAATCATGTACACTCATGCGCCATAGTTTCGATGCACACTCTACCCCTACTCCTGGCTCGAGGGAAGTCGTAATCAGGGCTGCAAACCGAACGGTCCCTCTTGTATAGTGATGGTAAATAAAGTGTTGTGAAGTCACTAAAAAAACCTGTATCGTGCATATATTCTCTCAAATATTACATCATGAACTGCTATTCGTACAATTCAGCGAAGCTTCGAGCTACCACATTGCACCACTGAAACAATGGGTGGAGGGAAGTGAGGTGGGGGGGGTAACGTTCGGTATAAAGCCAAGGCTACGACTTCCATCGAGTCAGGAGTAGGGGTAGAGTGTGCATCGAAACTATGGCACGTGAGTGTATAGTAGTCACTTATAAAAGGAATTTAGGAGAATAGTTTTTGCTTTCAGTTGAGCAGCTGGTGTCTGCTCTGAGTACAACTGAGGTAGGCAGCAGCTGGTGTCTGCTCTGAGTACAACTGAGGTAGGCAGCAACTGTTGTCTGTCCTGAGTACAACTGGGGTAGGCAGCAGTTGGTGTAAAGAAAGCAAAAAAAAAAAAAAGAAAAACAAGAAGTATTTGAAAGAATTTATTGTTGTTTACACTGTATGTAATCAGGGCTCTGTTGCAAACATTTGTCTTAGAAAACAAACTATCAAGGAAAAAGAATAGGTCATTGGGTAATATTTTTTAAGCATCATATTTGTCATCTTATGTCCTTCTGTGGGAAAGGTTCATGCATAATCTTCCTTAAAATTTTTTTTGCTAAGGCACTCATCTGTACAGCTCACTACTATTCATTCAGCAGTACTTCACAGGTTGGTTTGGATCAGATTGTCTCTAACATACCCACATTTGTTTTTATACCTTTCAGGGCCTGGGTATTCTTCATCGAGAAAAGAAGCTTAAGAAACTAAAGATGAAGGGCCAGTTGGAGAGATATCTGGAGAAAGAGCGGCAAAGTCTCCAACGTCTGCAAGAACTGACGGACATTGATATTGACCCACGAATCCTCCAGGGAGTAGATCCTGCAGGCAAGACGGGGGGAAAGAAGAAGGCCAGCAGCAGAAGTAGGAAGAGGAAGAGAGAGATGAACTTGAATCTTAAGTCAGAAGATGAAGGAGTGATAAAAAGAAAGGGAGTGACAAAAACAAACAAGATACAAAAGACAAATCAAGGGAAGAAGAAGGATATAAGAGACAGTAGGAGTGATCTAGGGGAGAGCATGGGTGACATGGAAGATGGAACTGGAGACAATGATGAAAGTGTAAGTGTAGAAATGAAAAGGCAAATTAGAACAGAAAGTACTCTGGACGACAGTGATCAGTGTAACGAGGAAGAAAGCGATGACGAGGAGAAAGAGCCAGCATTGGGTGGAGATAGTAGTGGTGGTGAGGATGAAACTTCAGATTTTGTCGTTGGTGCATCAGGGAAGAAGCTTAAAGAAGAGAAGGGTAATGATTCTGACAGTAATGAAGAAAGCATCAGTGAAGGAGAAGAATCTGAACACGCCAACTCTGATAGCGATTGTAGTGAAGAAGAGATGCGGAAAGTGTCAATGAAGAAGAAACTTATAAATGCAAAATATCCTACTGTTAAAAAGATTCCCAAAACCTCAGGGACTGCAGAAGTGAAGCGGTTGGACCTAACAAACATGACAGGAACAATTGATAAAAAGATTCAGAAACCCTCAAGGACTTCAGAAGTGAAGCAGTTGGATCTAACAAACATGACAGGAACAATTGATAAAAAGACTCAGAAACCCTCAAGGACTTCAGAAGTGAAGCAGTTGGATCTAACAAATATTAATGGAATAATTGAAGGAAGTGAAGCTCAAGCCATGTCTGATTCTGAGGATGAGGAGAACTTATTTAGCAAGACAAAACCCAAGAATGTGAAAAAAAAGAAAAGAAGTGATTTCTTCCTTGGATCGGGAAGAGGTGGTGATGGTGGAGAATCAGCTGAAGGAGATTGGGGATCAGAAGGGGAAGGTGATGAGGAGTCTGAGGACAGTGGCATCATAGACACCAGCAAATTCTTCAAGAAAAATTTATTCAGGAAAGACGATGGTACGAGAGACACTGAGAGGGGACGAGGTGGAAGTAGAGGATGGGGGAGCGACAGAAGTAGAAGAGGAGGCTTTGGAGATAAAAGAGGAAGCTTTGGAGATAAGAGAGGAGGCTTTGGAGATAAAAGAGGAGGCTTTGGAGACAGAAGTGAAGACTCAGAATACAGAAGAGGGGGCTTTAGAGACAAAAGAGGAGGCTTTGGAGACAGAAGTGGAGGCTTTGGAGTTAAAAGAGGAGGCTTTGGAGACAGAAGAGGAGGATTTGGAGATAAAAGAGGAAGCTTTGGAGACAGAAGAGGAGGCTTTAGAGACAGAAGTGAAGACTCAGAAGACAGAAAAGGAGGTCCAGGGGACAAAGGTGAAGACTCGGGAGACAGTAGAGGAGGTCATGGAGACAGAAGAGGAGGTCGTGGTGACAGAAGAGGAAGCTTTGGAGACCGAAGAGGAGGTCGTGGAGGCTCATTTACACAGTTCCCATGGAAAGGGTATGTTTAGTGTTAAGCTGAAACTATACAACAGTATTAGTATTTCATTTGGACATAAAAGTAATCATTTTACTTCTCATATTCCTGCAATGCAACATAACCCGCCATTAATTTGTATGGGTATGATCATTTGGTGGTACCTGGATACCTTTCAAAACTAAGTCACTATGATGTATTTTTTGGAGTCGAAATATTTATCACAATTGGGTTTTACGTCCAACTCTTTTCACACATTAATGCAGCATTGTAGCATTACTATGTTTACAGTCCATTACCAGATTTTATGAACATGGTATTCTAATGGTACCTAGTTCCTTCTTTTCAGTCTAAGTAACTGACATATATTCAAGGAATGTAGAGTATTTCATGCTGAATCTTTTTGTCCAACTATGGTTCTGCAATACTGTTATGCACTGCTCACCAATTTTTGCTTTAAGTAACAGCTATGGGTCACTTAATAACCTCCCTGAAAGAATGCCCATAGTGAAACTAAGTGGGATTAGAGAGATGCATCCAACCACACCAGTGACTATAATAAATGACTTCTAATTTTCAAGAATATAGGTGGTAAATGAAACAAATCATGGGAATCTTCGTTTTTTCTTGCTATTCTTAGTTGCTATAATACATATAAGAGTGAAGTACCTGTACAGTATACACAACTTTTTTAACAAACAAAAAGGTGGGGCCACTGAGCCAGAAAAAAAAACATGAGCACAAGGTAGACTGTACAGTACTGTACTGAGTAAAGTACAGGTAATATGTCATTAATTTGTTTTAACATTTATCATGAGTTTTATGAATGTACATTACTTTATCTGTTATTCTCTCCAACTACTGTATTTTACTGTTTATTTGTAATAATTATTTTTATTTTTTCTCGGTGATTCCAGTAATCCTAACATGATTCCTCTGGCAAGCAAAGATGATGGTCCTGCAGCACCATTGACAGGTGAGAAAACATCTACTATTGGCATCTGTTTCCAGGATTTTTGTATCTATAACCTCAGTCAGTCCAAGGATAATTGTGGGTAACAAAGTACTGTACAGTACTGTCTTCAGACAGGAAGAAACTCGATGAACCTCATGTTCATAGGGTATATTTCTTGTATATTTTATGAGTCAGACTTTTGTATGTAAGGTTTATCTTTATGTTGTGGAAATAAAGGGATTGGAAATATTCAACAAAATATAAGCTTCATGTTATATTTCTGTCAAACATTATTTTCTGTTTTCTGATTTTGTGAATGCAAAAGAACTTTGATTAATGTTTTTCACTTATTCTTTTTACACTGCTGAATTTGTTAATTGTTTTCTAAAATGTGTGAGGAACACTAACCAAATCAATAATTTTTTTCCCTTTACTTTAGGTGGAACATCGTCAACAGACAACATGCAGAATATCCACCCATCGTGGCAGGCTAAATTACGTCAGTCATCTTCCATCACCCAGTTCCAGGGGGGACATATTGTTTTCAATGAAGATGATTAAATCCATAAATTTCCTCCTAATGGTAAATAGTTTCAAGTTGTTATTGTAACTGATATGTTTGTTAGAATTTTGTGAACACGGGAGATATTCCCTAGATAGCTATGACATACAGTACAGTATTTTGCAGGTTTATAAGCTACTTTGCCAAGGTGTATTTATAGAAAAACTTGTACAGTATATTACTGTATATATAAATAATTAAAGTAGCTTTGTGAAATCATTTTATTATTAAAAGCATCGGTTGGCAGTATCTTTTGGTATTAAAATTTTTCTAAACAATATAATTTTACCAAAATAGCAAGGATTTTTATCATACTGTACTTATTACTATATGTACAGGTATATTACATATGAGATTGTATATCCAGCACTGTTGGTTCAATTGGACACAACAGTAACATGCCTAATAATTTACAAAGATGGTTTTACAATGAGTCATGACCTCATACATTAAAAATACTTCACATATGAACTGGAGTCATCAAGTAAAATTTGCATCTCCATTCATTACACATTTTCACGCACAAGCTGTTCTCACTACACAATCACAGAAATATTGGTGCTAACACCCTTAATGTATCCATAGACTCCAGGCTTCTAATAAAGTTTATTTGTGTATCTAAGAACACAAATGTGAAGCAAATGTACAGGGAGATTTAGGTGACAGCTACCTCCATTGGCTGGTAGTGTTAATGACATGCATTTTCTGATAGAGAAATCAACCGATTTTGCTAATCTTTCAAACTATCATAATGTGTACAATGTACCTGAACAATAATTTTGACTAATGTGCCTACAACTGGTAGTCACAACTCTGTTCTGCCCTGTTAAACCACACATACACTTGTCATTGTCATCTCTCATAGACTCTTATCCACATCACTGCCATTACTCACTCCTGTGCATCAGTTGCACCCAAAGATCAAGGAGGAACAAATTATGTTAAAAAAAATAATAGAAAGTTTAATGCACACACAAAACAGCTGCAAGCATGTACAATACTGTACAGTTCCCCATCCTCCCTTAGATATAGTATAACAAGGTTATTGCTTTCCTCTCCACAAGAGAGATTGGCACATCAGAAAGTTTATATGAAGTTGAGTTTTCATCAGTACTTGGGAACCAATATTGTGTCTTTAATGGGGAATGATTTGTGTTGTTTTACAACAGTCCTTTCTTAACTCGAGTACAAACTACACTAATAGATATCATATCATTTTACCCATGCCTTTCTTTTTTCTGTACAGTATATTAGTGTCTTCCCTTTGCACCTCCTTCCTTACAAATAGTCATCATAGACATTTACCCCCAGTGTTATCTTTTACTTTAGGGTTACAAGTAGTCAGAAATATATAATGGGACCGACTGTGTCTTTCCTAACAGATACCAGCTCATGTTTTTTGTATTATTGTACTGTATATTGAATCATGGGATAAAACAGACTGAAGGACCACCAGCTAAAATAACCAGGTCTTGTCAGGCGTCTTCTTTAAAACTGTGTGTGTGATGTGTTTACTGTGTTGTCCCATCTGTAGTACTGGGAAGAATTTCATACAGCCTGTTGTGTGAAGATAATTTTACATTTTATTACAATATGATTGATTATTAACATACAAAACTTATGTAAAGTAAGGCCTGTTTCTAAGTATAGCACCAGATAAAGAAAAGTTAAAAAAAAAATTCGTATCTCTGAACAGCACAGTACTAATTAGTTAAGAACTATAAATTCAAGGAATAACATTCAATTAGTCTTTCAAAATTCCAACAGTCTATAAAAATAACAAATCATTCACCTGTGACTACATTCCTAATGAGACTACTTTGGAGAACAGATCCCTGACTTGATCAATAACATCAAGGTGTAGAATGATTACTGTAGATTACTAAATGGCCAGTGATTGACCCATCATTTACCATGAGTTCCAGCCACTTCCAGCAGCCTTAACAGCCATCACAAGTCTTGTGGTTGCTTAGTGGGTCATGCCAATATATCAGCAAAGTGCATGCCATTTCTCTTTTCAACATATATTAAATGCAGAAGAGAAAAAATCGAGCAATGAGTTCATTGGCATCACGTGACATCTCAAGTCCAACCAATCAACTTTTATGTACAGTACTGAGAGATGCTAAGGTTCCCAAATGTTTGGCTGAGCTTGGTTGATGGATCAATGAAACAGGCTCCCAGTCTCAGACAGTTCAATTACTGAATGAGTTCTGTATTTAACCTAAGTAAGAATCATGAAAAGTTTCTAAATGTTAAATATCAAGTTCCTCTGATAAAGTTTTCAGCTTGGCATCGAGGCCGCCCTTTTCCATCTCTGGCTCGTGCTTTAGGATCTCTGAGGCTTCTTGCAGATGCTTCACAGCTTCTGTCATGTAGTCCTGGAAAATAAAAATGGTGTGATATTTTTTTATTTTCTAAAATTATACCTTTCAACAGGACCCTGTTCCCAGCTAAATGGGATAGCACAAGTGCACAATAAAATCCAATAAATGATGACTTCTACAAATTTTGAATGCTCTAGAAATCTTAATTTTGCTTATTAAAGAAAATTGTCAATGAGAGACTGATATCACCAAAGTCAATTGACACGGCCAGCAATGTGTAATACAGTACTGTTAATAGATGAATCAGCAGCTCTATGTATACAATACATTTTTCTGGGATGGATTCTCCCACACATGTCACAGGCTCCTCACCACAGCCTTGGCCTGTGTGTGCCACATACCTACTCCTCATTGATGATCAAGTCTTGGTCAAAAATAAAAATACCAGTTATTGCCTATCTATCACTGGCTGTAAAAACGATAAGCAAGTTTGACGTCATCAGTGATATGAGCAGCCCTTCAAATTGGAGAACAAAAGGCCAGTTTTAAAATTCATAAGATTCACTTTACACCAAAGACACCTGGATATAAAGATGAAAATGATCAATTCACCTGTAGTGGTACCTCATAGATGTACTCTCAAATGCTCTTTCAATACTCAAGTGATGTTGTGGTTATATAAGTGCATACTGTACCATTTGCAGTAGGTTACCCTTAAAGCAAGTTTTCCTTTTAATTCAGTGTCACCTAAATTATGGGCAAGATCATTTTACCTGTGTGCCCTCCTTAGTGATGACGTCATTAGACAGAAGCATCCTAGCCAGTGCCACAAGGGCAGCTTGTAGCTCAAACAGAAGTGTTCCACGGAAGAGACTCAAACCAGGGTCTATGGTGCCAGCCAACTCCAACAACTCCCGGCAATATTCAACTTTCTTCTCCAATTTCTGTCTTGTTATATCTGTAAATATAGTGTCATTCACATGTAATAAGAGATGTTTTGCCCAATGAATCTTGGTATATCACACAGCATAAAACTTAGCATATAAATTTAGAAATTTTTAACCAAAAATAAAATATTGGATGAAGTTCAAATTTCAGCTATTGGGAGTGAAGAAAGCAAAGAAAGAACTCATAAAAAAATTCTTCCTTAACTTATGGCCATCAAACATGAATTTGAGATAAAGGTGAATGATCTAAAATTCATATTACCTTACAAAGATGACTTACCTGAGGACTGAATCTGGGGCCACTCAAATGGATACAGTAAAAAAAATTGTAACGTGTGTTGGGAATTGTAGAGTGTAGAATGGATGTAAAGGGATTTGATGAGATGGTGAAAAGGAAGAGAGTCTCATAGTTAAGACTGACCATTAGGGACAGTGTAGATACAGCACACTGTATACTAAGTCTTTGGTACACAAGGAGGCAATGTGGCCGGTACTGCACTTGACTACATTCACTTCCCCCAAATTATAAACTTAAGATACTCATTGACAGCTGAGTGAACTGGGAGTGCCCGGGAATCAAACCACCAACCCCTGGAACAGGAAGCGAGCACTGTATCCACGCATCTGCCAAGCTCCGTGATGAGAAGGTAAGAATATGTAAAAAGGATGCATTAGAGGAGAGTAAAGAGAGTATTATCAGGTGCACTTAGTAGAGGAAGACTTTATTGTGGGAGGAAAGGATGAACTAATTAATATAAGGAGATTGTACAGGAAGGAAAAAAGGGTGATGTAGCCTCCTGAAGGCTCTTGAGTCACGGTCAATCCCCCAAGGGGGCAGCACCCTGGAGGAGTGAGGCATCGTAGATTAAAAAAATTAATAAATACAGGCCTCACAAACCTCTGTATCTGTATTCTGGGTGGTTGCCATAGAACTTGATGAGGGCATATTTGGCCTCAACAAAAAAGCGGTGTTTAGGATGTAAGGCTTTTTTATAAGTTTCCAAGAACTTCTCCAGTGGTTGCACTGAGACCTGATCCAGCCCACGCAGCTCCTTGTAGAGTATTTGGTCCCCCCAGAATACCTGTGTGGTTATTAGTATGGTTAGCTCTCTAAATCTCTGAAAACTTTTAACTTTGATTTGATTCAATAATAAGTCATTTACTATGGAAATGATAATGTGTACTTTTGTGAACTAAAGATTAATATTGTAGTTAACTCCTTCCTCCTGCAAATAAATAAATAAAATAAATATATAAACAGCAGTAGTTCATCCTGATTAGCTGTAATTTTCAAATAAATAATCCCGTAAACACTCTTCTAGGCAACAAATGAACAATAAATTAACTTAAGGTCCATCTTTCCCAGATACTGGTAAGGAGTGATGTAATAACAAATGTTATGAAAAAAAAATCTAATTTTAAAAGAACTGGAAGCATAAAATGAACATAAAACAAAAAAGGAAATATTACTAACTGTCTTGCCTAAAACAGTGTTGCTACATTTCTGGCAGGCCCAGTTGGCATCCATGTCAAGGGGTGCTGTAGACTGTACATGGCCACCACATTCACTGCACAGGAGGGTACTGAGGTGTGTTCCCAGTTCTGTTGGATCAGAACAGCGTCGACAAGAGCACAGGAAATGTTTTGCAACCTGTTAGGGAAGATGGTTTAAGACAAATAGTACAATATGCATAAAAGATATTGAATATTTGTATTATTATATTAAAAACATAATATCTAGATTATATATTTTTTATGAATACTATACAATGCCTTAAAGTACAGAATATTTTTTTTTGTTTCGTCTAGAAATATGAGCCTTTTGTACTTTAAGCTGTTTGCGTCTCTGTAAGGTATTCCAGAGAATGTTGGTGTAGGTGCTGGTGATCGGAGTGCCCTTGCGAATGACAACAGTTGCCCGTAACACCAGCATTAGGTCTTCATCAAAAGCATGCTTGGTATTGGGTATACAGTCATGTGCCATCATGGCTGCTTGTGGGTACAACCCTCGCACTCGCTGTCCATTATGTTTCAATTCAAAACTGTTGGTGAGCAGAATGCCACACATGCGGTATATCTCTGCACTATCTGCACCTTCGTACTTTATGTAGTTCCTGCGGGTAAATGAAATACTCGTGTTACAAGAATTAAAACAACACAAGTATGAAAAGGAAACACAAATGGATGGTTATAACCATATAAAACTGATACTGTGGGTGTTTTCAACAATCAAAGGTCATTAAATATTATACACTATATTTTTCCATTTCTGGGGTAAATCATTAAATTGCATAAGTGAGAGATCACTTTGAAAGAAATTTGGTTTACATATACAAACTGTACATACCATTCACAAAATGGATTAATGTACAAAATATAAATATATATATATATGCTCTTGAAGCATAGCTTTACTGTAGAGTTTAAAGATAAAGATTGGTCACTAGAAATCATACACAATCAAGAAATTCACTTGAGAAAATCAACGGAGTTTCTCTGAATGATGCCGTCCATCTCGCCGTTTTTGATGTTGTTAACATGGTCCTGTAGGTGGGTGATGGCCTCCCACTTCTTTGGGTCTGTTTCTTTGGTAAGAAGACAGCGCAGGGGCGTGATACATTCATAGGCTGGGTGCGGCGACTCAACATTGTCAATCTTGATCTTTGCTGTTGCTCCAGTCAATATAGGGCATTCATGCTGGTGATAGAGGGACACCTTGTCAATTTAGTATTCCTAGTACATACGACAGAAAATTTTAGTAAAAGAAATTGGAGAAAGGGAGACTTAGCAAAATTTAACAAACTGACAAAAGTTATAGGCATTGCAAGTACTGTACTGTACATGGTCCTGGAATCAGATACTATTGATCAATGTAAAGACAAGAAACACAGAGGAAGAGGAAATATGGAGAGACTGAAATTATTTTAATAACTCCAGGGAACTGGTGCATCTGAGCCAACCAACTGGTCAGGATCTGCCCCGCCACCCCACTGATCCTCACTGACAGCACTCCGCAAGATACATACAGTACTCACACTACCCGGTCTACCAAAGTGTCACGTTCCCCACTGTCTGCTGTATGATGTACAGTGACCCCTCATTTAACGAACACCTCAGTTAACGTAATTTCGATTAACGAACTGCCTTCCATAAGGATCTTCAATTCGGTTAACGAAAACAAATTCGGTTAACGAAGTTCTTACGAACCGACCTCAACATGTTTTCGCTTGCACTGACCGGGCAACCAGCTTTAGTATCAGTCTGCCAATACATTAATCGGTTCTAGGGCTTAAATTCCTTACTATTTTAGTAAATATCAAGAAGTTTATACTATTCAATAATTTTAAAAGTTTAATATTCAATTTTTTAGTCATTTTAACAATTATTGAACATAACTGAAGGTAAAGTGACTAGTTTAATGTGCGGCATCCAGCCTCTTAACACAGCAAACAGGAGTTAGTCTCTCTCTGTTTTCACTGGAGGTAACATCTTGCTTGAGACTCTCTTCAACTAAATGCTTTTTTTCTGTGTTTCCAAGCAAATTATTGGTCATTTTGAAATATATTTTACATATTGACAATATATAATGCAGTGCAGTGTTGATTTAAAGAAAATAATCTTGAATTACACCAAGAGAGCTAAAATTTTATGGGTGAAATGGCGCCATGGGATGACTTCTCTTCCACCCCAATGCCTTCTCTTCTTCCTTCTCCTCCACCCCCATTCTAAATCCCATCATCATCATCATCATCATCCAGGAGCCTTCTATACATACACACCTCAACTTTTCTACCATTTTTGTTGAATTTAGGAAATTTTCGGTGAGCTGGAACCAATTACCCAAAAACCCATTGAAACAATGGTTTCGGTTAACGAACTTTTCGGTTAATGAACGACCTTCTGGAACGGATTGAGTTCGTTAACGGAGGGGTCACTGTATATAAATCTAAATCATACTCAAGCGAAAGCCAAAAAAATTTCAAATGTTTGCACTATGTCCTACACAAAAAGTACATGAAGTCCCAGAATGGGTATATAAATATCATCCACTAAATGCATATGAAAGCCCCAAGAGAGTTAAAATGAGTTAAACATACATTTACTGGTAATGGTGATGCATTACACATGTGATGACACATTTCTAGCAGAAAACACCGGTTCACAGTACAGTTTTCTGTACTGAGGAATGCTTTCATTGCATATTAATCCTGGTTCTTACCACTGTTGAAGACTGGTTATTGTCAGCATTTTGATATCTTTAACTGCATGTGATTTTGTATTTCTACTGTTGTTCCCAAATTAATAGTGTGACATGTGGTGATATGATTTATTTAACATACAGTAAAAGTCCAAAAATCCGGATGCCAGGAATCCGGACCACCCGAGAATCCGGACTTTTCGAAAACTCAAACTTTTTAAATTTAGCGGGGGCTTTTGTGGGTTATGTGAATGAATGGAGTTGCTTTAAAAAATTAATTTACATAATTCCAATAATAAAAGTAATTGTAAATTATAGGTAGCTAATTTTGTTCGTTTTGTAATTAGCTTGAACTGAAATGTAAAATTTGAGGCACTATATACAGAACCAATAACTGTGGCACCACCTCTTTTCTTAGTAAGTAAAAAAAAACTACAGTAGTGGATAGAAGTCTTGAGGGTAGAGGTCTTTTGCTCAACTCACCTTATGATATTTTGAGATCTCACAAGAAGGTGCACAAACTGGGAAGTGACATTTAGGGCAAGTGTAGGTGCCTCTGATGCCCTTATGACAGCCAAGACAAACAGGTGGTGATCGCTGCTTTGGTCCTATCACAACAGGTGCCTCCTTCAGGATCACCTCCCCAGGACGTATGTCACGGGTCGCCACCATGTGCCTGTATACAGTATATCATATGTTTACAGGTAATCATCATCATGTACAGTATACTAAATCATCATCATCATGTACAGTATACTAAGTCATCATCATCATATACAGTATACTAAATCATAATATTAAAAACTTGTGGTTTCATTATATTTTCTGAAAACCTCCCAAGTTTTCAGTCAATGGAACAGTTCTAAATAATTTTGATATTCTTTACATTAACAAAATTTACCCTAGAAAATCTACAATGCCTGTAATTACAGTATTGAGAGACTAAGTGTGGCCAGATGATGTCAGAGTTACTGAAATGATTACTATAGACTGTACCAGGTGCAAAAGACATTAGCTTACAGCAACAGGATGGCCAAATAAATACAATTTCTCAAAGTTGAAATTTTTGGCAAGTTTTTATTCAGTAAGGAATCATTTAAATCATTTATTTTTATAGCTATCCAATATCTACCCAACTGGTTAAAGATTCTACACTGCATAGCCTCTGAAAATAATGTACTGTATAGTACTAATAAGATTTTTTCTGCTCTGAAAATAATACAGCTATACACAAGAGAATGTGCACATGTGAGAAGACACACAGGTTGGGTGATGAACAAGAAGATGAGCAACGAGCTTGCTGAGCCCCTGAAGATCCCGTTTTGTAAATGCCTGGATGAGCAAAAGGTCCCCAGTGATTGGAAAATGGCTTATGTGATTCCTATTTTCAAGAAGGGCAATCGTCACTCACGAATAATAGACCAGTGAGTCTGACCAACATAGTATGTAAAGTACTTGAGAGCATTATAAGAGATGCCATGGTGGAACATATACTACGAAACAACCATGTAAACTGTAAAGGATTGCCAACACAGTTTTATGCAGGGACACTCTTGTTTAACACAATTACTCAAGGTACTGGATGTTTGGACCCAAATTCTGGAACAGGGCAGCAATATCGACAATACTGTATATACATAGATTTTGCCCAGGCTGTCGACAGCATGCCCCATGAAAGGCTGAAAATTAAACTGGAAGGGTATGGGATTCAGGGAAGTGTCCTAGCGTGGATCAGGTACTTTCTGTATGATCGTAAGCAGTGTGTGGTGATTCATGGTACGAAATAGTCATGTGTACCCTTGACAAGCGGGATACCACAGGGCAGTGTACTGCGCCAGAAGCTATACACTCCTCCATACAAATGTTTGCGGACAATGCCAAGTTCTTTAGGGAGTACTGTAACCCCGTCTGGTCCACGAGATATGCTAGGGACTGTCAGTTGATTGAAAATGTCCGAAGGAGGGCCACCAGACTGGTACCTACACTTCGGCACTTCACCTACCCAGAGAGATTAGAGAGCCTGCAATTGCCTAGCTTATTCTACCGACGGGCAAGGGGGAACCTAATTGAGGTGTATAAACATATCAAAGGGCACTACTCAGTCCAGTGTCCAACCTGGAGCTCAGGGCCGGATTTACCAATAGGCCAAGTAGGCCATTGGCCTAGGGCCCACCGGTATCTGGGGGCCCACTGAAACTAATTTGTCGCGCAGCGTGCCAGCGTATAACCTTGTTTCAAGTGTACACCGAGTATTTCATTATAAAATATATTCACAACCATAAGGGCCCCTGTACAATAAGTATAGGCCTGCAGTGGTCTTCAACTGGTGGGCCATGGGGTGGTTCTCAGGTGGGCCACAGACTAGGCCCTATAGTTAAATGAAGAAAATAAGATAATAAAAAAATATATATATACAGGTATATACATTTTTTAAATGTCTGTGTCCCACCATCGATCTATCTATCTATTTATTTATTTATCTATCTATACACACATATATACTGGAGAGAGAGAGAGTAAAGTTCAAGAAACCTTCAGCGCCTTGACGTGTGAAGGACAGGATCGTTTCACGTTCAGTACGTGTCAGGGTTACCGTTGGTTTGCTGACAACTCGCTCAGCCAGTCAGTATCTTCTCAGCCTCAGCTCAGTGATATTATATATTGTGTACGCAGCACTCATTATTTACTATTGATATTTTACATGTTGCATTAAATGGACTTCAGTGTTATATTACGTGTGTTTTTGTGTCTATTTTTTGTGATATTGGTATCTCTTATAGACTTATATTATTTTTTTGCCTACAGATTATTGAAACATGCAAACATTTCTATAAATTTGGGGGCCCACTGATGAGTTTGGCCTGGGCCCCATAAAAGTAGGTAAATCCGGCCCTGCTGGAGCTGGTGGATTCCTGCCCCACAAGGAGTCACAGATCAATGTTGAAGAAGCCGCAAGTCCAGAAAACTCTGAGAGCGAACGTTTTCGGAGTGAGAATTAAGAACTCTTGGAACAACCTGCCAGTGTGTGTTGTGATGGCGCCGAGTGTGAGCTCTTTCAAGACCAGACTTGACTAGCACTGGAGCATTCAGGGGCCAGTGCATGCCCAGTACTTTCCAGCAGTGCGTAACAGAGATGTGACCAACCGCCCAAGCGGCTAACGAGCCGATCAGTGGTGAAGAGGATAAACGTACAGTAAAAGTGCTTAAGATCAATAAGGAATATAATTATACCGTACTGACCTTCCATAAATTGGGTGATTTTGGACAATGTAAGGTTTGCATCGACCTTTATGTGTCTTCCAATCTTGCTTCTGACACTCTCGGGAGCAGTAGAACACTGACCGACACGATGAACAAAACTGTTTGGCCGCCTTACTGCACACCTCACACACACCCTGAGAATCTGGCATCCTGAAACGCCGAGAGTACAGTACAGTTCAGTACACGAGCTTATACAGTATCAAAGAAACAGGGTCACCTGAAGATTACTTCCTCAGCTTACGTCACCTGAAGATTAATCACCCGAATGCTAATCTATCCTAACCCCCCAAAAAAAGTATTAGCGATTAATCAAGTGAAATAAGCTGGGGCTCATCTTCCGGTGATTCAGAGAATTCATTATCACATTAAAATTTTACAATAAAATTAATTGGAGTTAATATTTAATCTTGGTAAACAATGAACTAAAGAACATAGATATATTTATACTTTCAAAATCTTATCGTGTAACTAAGATTCAATGCACGTGTCCTCTCTTGTTCGATGGGAATAATTACTCATCAGCTGAAAGCTGTTGTCTAGTCACTTGTGTACTGACCTGCTTAGATCACGTTCTTAAAAACCTTTATTGTTGATGCCTAAAAAATACTTATGAATGACTGTAATGATCAATTACCCTGATGTAAAGAGACGAAGAATTGACAAAGGAAGAGCAGTAGATGAAAGTTGCAGCAACACCGACGAAGAGATAAAGGATCTCAGGGAAGGTGAATATGGTTATATAACTTAGTAGTTATTTATAATTCCAATACAATCGTTTCAGTTATACTCATGTTTTTTTATGCTTCACCGTTTCAGTTTTGTTCAATCACTGTGAATTTATATGTTGTCATTCGTGTTAAATACTGTACTATTTATTTTTTTCTTAGATGAAGTTAAATAATACAAATATTACGTAGAGTCTACTCAGTTTGTAATTTAAGTAAAAATAAATAGTATTAATTATGAACCAGCTACCTGTATTTAATCGCTTCTGCTGCACTTATTCCACTTATTAAATAATATACAGCACATAAGGTTCACACGTTGCTTAGCTTCTTCATGTAGATAATTGGAATTACAGATCAGTCTGAGACTTTTGAGTACTGAACACATCAACATATTCTGAATTCGGCAAAACAGTACTTATCAGGATTTGGTTACTTATCTCCATCTGCCCGTTCGTTTCTCAATCTGTCCGGACATTTTAGCAACATTGTAAGTCTCCGTCCGTCCGTTTTTCCATCCATGTGTCAAACATTTCCGCCCGCCAGTTAAATGTCTGTATATCAAGTGAGTAACCGCAAATTATTTCGCTAGAATAATTTACTTAAAACGGAAGTAACCATCTTAATCCACCAAAATTATCCCTCTAGTGTTGTGGAAACTAGCATGGCTTTTCTGCAGTCAGATGTCTCAACATGTCAGAATTGAATTTATAAAAAATAAAAATAATAATTATGGTCAAAGTTTAAGTGTATTCGTGCTCCTTGTACTAAAATACTTACGTTTTTGAAGTACTGAAGAGTAACTACACCCACCTCCAGTATTTTGGGTGCGTCACATGAATTCACAATGAGGTCAGAGCAATAGTCTTTCAAAATTCTACCCCTGACGTTTCTAAACCTCTGTTACTTTTCACCAGATTTACAAATTTAGAGGAATAATATCAACCGCAGGGTTCAAAATCCCGGTGCAGACACACGCCGCAGCAACCAAAATAGTAATGCCCGAGTCTGGGAGACGTGACCGGCCTGCACGTGAGCCTGCGCGCGCACCCTCCTGTTTACTGCTGCTCATCTTGCCAACGTTGTGGTCTTGAAGAACGTAGTAGTCGGTTCTCGAATGTGGTAGAGATGTGAAATAGTTAACAATGCACAGTTTATTTACCGAATATTTCCCACTCACGTTGTTATAGAAGACGAAATTTTACTTGTCAGCATCTGTTAACTATCTGGGCAAACCTAGATAAGTTACAGTGAGCGAACTCTTGACTGTAACTTTTTACCTGTACCCAGCTCGTGCTTATTATATTGACAGGTATGATTGACTTTGTTTATGAACGTTATTAATTTATATTAAGTTTTTGCACGAAAGTCAATAGAGGTATTTAAATAGCATTAACTGTTTCGTCCTTTGAGCAAGTTGTCTATCAGTTGATGGACAATAATGTATATTATGTTTGATAAAACTCCATCTAGTTTTCTTTATAGTGGATATGACAATGATACAGTAAACTTGATAAATGTCCAGTTTAGCAAAAGTATTTCATATTATTTTTCGTCTTGATAATTCATAATTCTTAGAATGTTAAAAGTGCAGTTGCAAGAGACGACAAAGATTAACTATGGCTTCTGTAGTTGTCAAAAACCTGGGTTAGACAATGGGAAATTTATATAGACAGTCATGGACTTACGAATGCTCGTTAGAGCGGATGTCGTAATTGCGACTTGTTCACAGATGTTATCAGCTGTGTTTCCCGCTATTCATTTGACCACCGGCATGTCGTGCACACTCGTCTATACTGACAGGTAAAACAAACCTAGCAAACCCAGTCTAACGTATCTAAGCTTACCCAAGTTAACTGAGAACTATTCTTAGATCGTCACGTCAGCTTAGGTAAGTTAAATTACTTTGGATTGGTTCATGTCATCTTTGTATATAATGGATATTGAGAACAAACGTTATCTTTGGCGCCTCCAACAACAACATAATATCAAGCGCATCAGGGTCGGGAGGAACACTGAGGATTGGAGAACCCTTTAGAAGCTCTAAATTACAATTCTTAGGGTGGATTCCAACTATTCTCCGTGTAAGGAACAGGGTTTTATTTATAAAAATCTTCGTAAGTAGATAATTTAGATGCGTATTTACGATAAAGTATTACATCTACCTTTAGCTGTGACTGTTACGTCAGGTATGTTATTAAGCTCCCACTCGTATTATCGGCCGCACCTTAAACCAAGATGTGACGAGGTTATCTATGATTTTTAACATATTTAAGGTTCACTAGGGATTAAATACCCTAACTATCTGGGATTAGGTGAAATATGCTGAGGTGCCTAATCTTCACCTGAATCATTTTTAAACATAATTTATATTTCGTGGATCTCTAAAATATATATAAATATATAATATTTTTTAAATACTTAAACTATAAGCTCCTGCACTGGACAACGTTTCTTATAAACAAAGGGGATGTACAGTATATTATCGCTTAGTTTCCAGTACGAGAAAAAATAATAAATCGTTGAGGTGCCATAGAGTGACATGTTCAATAGGTTTCTTGTTATTACACAGGTGCAGAGTTTCCAGCCAATGAGTCACCCTGAGGTATGATTGGCGGAGCTGTAATACTGTACCACTGTCTGATGATACACAACAACTGTAGCTTGTGGAGACAGCGGGGAAAGTCCTGGTGGGAATGAGAGAACCAATCATATGAAAACCGCGGAAGCAAGTTAGCCTACTGCTGACAGGTAAATGCAATGATATATCTTGTCGTTTTCGTGCCAGAAATTCTGATAATCAGAATTCGGTGAGCAATGGAGCAATTAGCGCCGAAATGAAGACAAAATTACGATTACAATTATTCTGGCTGCGTTGCTGGCTGAATGTATCACAATTAATGGATATTACGCATGTGGAAAGTAACTACATGATGCTTGACTGTTTGCCAAATTGCCCCCATGTGCTCCTGGTGTAGCGTGAGTCCTTTTATTATTATTATTTACGTCCAGGGGGCAGCAGATTCAGTAGAGGACGCGGTCAGGTGCAACTTTGGGCTTAACAAGACAATTTAATTTAACATTCACATAATAAAACTTTTAATTCGTTTTTCTTATTTAATGACCTGTAAAGCCACCAGAGTAATAACCTCGTGTGATTATAACTAATTGAAAAGAGTTCAGAAGTTGAAGTGGTTCTAGAATAGACAGAGACCAGCATTTGTTGTCCTTGATGAGTGTCAACGAACACCCTCACAGTCGTCACCCGGCCACTCACATCTTCACACCCACTCACACGTCCATTCTCACCCTCACACACCCACTCTCACGCATATTCACGCCCTCACTCTCACACCCTCGCACACCCACACCCTCTACCGTGTACTGCCCTGATAACATGCTTAGATTTGGTCCACATTGTTTTGTCCTAACTGTTGATTCTCCTTACCCCTCCTCCTAGCCCCTAACTACTCATAAATTCGAAATGAAAGAAACCACATAATTGTAAGGTGGTGAAGCGCGGTAAGTGGTGTAGTGTAATGGGAAAGCTTGGTAAGTGAGCCACAAATAGCCTTCAGTACTGGCTGGTCGTGTGTGCCAGCCAGGTCTCGTCACTTCACACCAACACGCTCGGCCACACTTCTCTTACAGTAGTTTTACTCCACTAACATTACTGTTTACCGTATTTAGGTGCTTCAACTGCCAAGATCAATTATGCACCGTTCACCAAATATTCTTTTCTTCATTAGACAATCTTAGTAGAATCGTAAAATATATTTTGTTCTTATTTTCAATGCGTCAGTTGTCTCTAATATATACACCCCCCGCCCATACTGTAACTGTCCACAATAAAGTATGACATAATCAATAGTTGTCACCTTGAGCTACCGCCCCAGGTCATGGCCCAGTTGCTCTATTCCGATTTTCGTCCGTGCTTGTATAGTGTTATCTTGCGGCTACAGTATGCAGTAGTGCTGTAGCCTCGTCAGGGTAAGAAGAGGCCCCATGACGTGTTGTAAGGGTCTACTCATTGTGCTTGATGAGTGTTTAGTAATGTTTAAAAGTATGTGTATTGCTTGTTATATCCTAGTGGAAATACATCCACACGTAAAATTATTATATTACTGTAGAAGCATTGCAGGGTAGTGACATACAGTAGACAGTTAGTGTAGTGACTCCTGGGAAATGGAGAAAGACCGAGCGAGTTCACTTAAAATCTACCATGAAGCGTGTACAGTACTACACTTATAACTGTACAAAGATTCAAGCTTAAATTATCAAAGCTTAATTGACATGTTGACTTGGCAATTATATCTGTAAATTATAACTTGAAGGAAACTATAAGCATTGACCTTTGTAATTAATTTCCAGATATTCAGTGTCACAAGACAATTGCCTGACACACACACACACACACACACACACACGGGAGAGAGTATCAGGTAATGTCTGGGAGGAACCCGTCAATCCAGGTGTGTTTACCTACTCAGCTGATCACCACAGGTAACCCACCCTCACCTGCTGTCTCTCTGGTTCTTTTGTCTATATCTGTTATTGGGCTTATATTAATATTCCATTGATATTATTATTACCTGTATAACATTATAACAATATAACTAAGTTAGGAATCCCGAGAATTTAAGATAATTACAGACCAGAAGGAGGAGGAGGAGGAGGAGGAGGAGATGATAACTGATATATCAAAGTAGATAAGTATTTGCTGACGTCATGCTAATATGCCTGTCTTCACTCTCCTCATGACGTCACTCAAGAACAATTGACGTCAGCGCATCAACTAGACGCGAAGACAGTGATGGCGATATGAATCTTTCTCTGTCTGTTGTCATTATCTTTTCTTTCTTTCTTTCTTTCTTTATCTCCTTTTCCTTCTTTCTTTCTCTTTCTCTGTCATTTTTTGTTTATCTCTCTCTCTTTTTGTCTGTCTCACCTTTATCTGTGTCATTCGTTGAAATCCGTTTCTGTTCACATTTAATGATTAGTTTAGGGGTTCATTAATGGCATGGCAATTTATGAACCTCTAATATGATTCAGAACCCTTGATATGACACTTTGAACCCTGATATGACTGAATCCCTGATATGACTGAATCCCTGATATGATACTTTGAACCTCTGATGTGACACTTTGAACCCTAATGACTCGGAACCCCTGATATGACATTGTGAACCCCTGATATGACACTTTGAACCTCTGATACGACTTTGAACCTTGATATGACACTTTGAACCCCGATATGACACTTTGATCCTTGATATGACACTTTGAATCCCTGATATGACACTTTTTCAACTTAGGTAAATGATTATCATAGAAAATTATATATTTTTTTATTTGAAATCTCTCAATCTCCAGTACTTATTCGCTACAGTTATTCAACATGACAAAAGTCTAACTTAAAAAAAAAAAAAATATATATATATATATATATATATATATATATATATATATATATATATATATATATATATATATATATATATATATATATATATATATAATGTAGTAATTCTTTCGAGGTCATTGATCATGTTTTCTCTCATTCTCTGTCTGTCTGTCTCTCTCTTTTTCTCAATGTCTCTTTGTCTATCTCTTTCTCTTTTTTTGTCAGTATATTTGGTTCACTTTCTTTCTGCCTGCCTGTTTGTCTGTCACTTTGTCTTTCAGCTTCTCTCTTTTCCTCTGTCTGTCTGTCAGTCTCACATTTTTTCTGTCTGTCAGCCTGTCTTTCTCTTGATCTTTCTGTTTCTAATTGTTAGTTTTTTAGCCCCATTCTTACTCTCCAACTGTTTGTGTGACTGTCAGACTCCCTTTATCTGCCTGTGTGTCGCTGCCAGTCAGTCTCTCAGCCTCTCTTCTCCTATTTGCTTGTACGACTATCAGACAGCCTCCACCTTCCCTCACACGAGCCCGACGGCCAACATCCACTTGCCAATACGTATGACCTCTTGCTCACACGTGACGTACAGCTGACCCTCCGGTGTGTCCTCCTCCTCGTGTTTGAAGATCTCCATCGCCTTCTTCAGCAGCGCCTTAGACAGCAACATCCTCTTCTTCAGCTGTTGCGTTGTTAGCTTGTTCTGCGCAAAGTGTTTCTGTGCACTCTGAAGGATGGTCTTGTGGTACTCGTAGAAGGTGAGGCCGACGAAGGGGATGGTCTGAGCCGTTGATGGGTCGAGACGTGAGCACACCGTCAGGAATTCCTTGCAGGATTTCTCTTTCTTGGCGATTTCGATCCAGTGGGCTGCGTCTTTTTCCTGGTCGGAGGCCTTCTCTTTAGAGCGGCCGTAGAGCTGCAGGAGGGAGTGTTTGACGGCATGCAGGTGGTAGTGGTTGGTGTGCACCCGGGGCGTCCACTCCTGCTGTAGCGCTTCAAGGGAGGGGATTGAGGGCTTAGCCAGGGCCACCTCCACCGCCGCCCCTAGAGCCAAGTTGGTCCTCAACACCTCTTCCACGCTGATCTGAAGGACAGGAGAAGGTTGGTTACTGAAGTGTTAAGACGGGAAGAAAATGGCTATTCATGTAGATGGGAAAAGTTCTGTTGTTTATAGGGAAGAAAATTAGGACCACTGTACTGTATGTGTATATGCAGAAAAACTTTGCTCCCCTGTAGTATCATATCACCCCCATGTAGTGTTACGTCATCCCGAGGTGTCATGTCATCCTTGTGGTGTCACCTCTGGTTGTCTCATGATACCCCTGTATAGTGTCAGTTCTCGTAGTGTCATGTCACCCTTGTAGTCATGTAACAGACCTGGCTGGAGCAGCTTTCGCAGGTCCAAGGGTCATAGTCGTCGAGGGGGCTGGTGGGAAGAACATTGTTGCCACAGCGGCGACACAGGAGGGCGGAGAAGTAGGTGTTGAGCTCGGTGGGGTCGGCACAGCGCTGGCAGGAGCAGGTGAGGAGCCTCGTCTGACGGAGGTGGTCGCGTCTGGCTCTCGTCCCCCACAGAATGTCCGTGTAGATAAAGGTGATGGCCTCCCCACGCTTGATGGGGTCAGACGCCCGTAGTGTCAGCTTACCATCCTGGCGGGGACAACGTGTGTTAATAAACAGGTAATCGTGGGGTTCTGGGCGACCACACACACACATTTCAAAAACAGTATCGTGTTAACTTTGAACCCCCTGATATGACTCCTTATCACTGTAACTAAGTAGACAACATCACAAATGCTCAGGAGAGATGACTTGTACCTTCCAGACAGGCTTGGTGTTAGGCATACAGGAGTGGCTGGCGAGGGAGGCCATGGGGTAGAGCGCCTGCACCTCCGAGTACGACGTCTTGGTTGGCACCTGGTTAATCTGCAGCAGTCCCAGCACCTGTGTAGGTGAGGAGTACGTATTAATGAAACCCACCACCTGTAGACAACACCCACCACCTGTAGACAACACCGATCACCTGTAGACAACATCCATCACCTGCAGGCAACACCCACCACCTGTAGGCAACACCCACCACCTGTAGACAACACCGATCACCTGTAGACAACACCCATCACCTGCAGGGAACACCCACCACCTGTAGGCAACACCCATCAACTCACTGTGTGGATGGCAGCCTCAGAGCCGTCGACGCCGGGGTACTGGTGAAGGCGGAACCTGTCTCTGAGGACGTTGACTACAAGTTCCTGGTTGTGGCGGTGCTGGGGCCACCCTGCCCCCTGCTGCAGGTACCGGGTGTTGAACCGCTCCGCACACGTCCGCCACCGCTTAGGTTCCCGACCCGCGAACACCAGACACCTGAAGTGGGTAGATTAGTTTAGGAAGGAACCCAAGCACAATGAGAGGTAGTTAGCGACCAATGGTGATCTGAGGGAGGTAAACTCGCTTATGAAGGAGACGTGAGTTATCTGTGTCAAGTAAACTCGTTCATAAGAACATAAGAAAATAAGGAGTCTGCAATAGGCCGGTTGGCCTGTGCATGGCAGCTCCTGTCGAGAGTTACTACCACTCTCTATCATCCATGAATCTATCCAGTCTCCTTTTGAAACTTTCCAGCGTTCCAGCACTAACTACATGGTTGCTAAGCTTGTTCCACTCGTCCACCACCCTATTTGTGAACCAGTTCCTTCCTATCTCCCTCCTAAACCTAAACTTATCCAACTTAAATCCATTGCTTCGAGTCCTATCCTGCTCGGATATTATAAGAACTTTATCTATATCCTCTTTATTCTTTATTGATTCCTTACTACCACCAGTCACCGTTTCATGACCTTCCTTGACCTCTCTCGACCTACCTGAGGGCCGTGATGACCTCGTACAGGTGGTGAGGTCCCCCGTCTGTGTCGTCGATGGATATGGTGACCCCGGCGGCCTTGGTGACGTCACACTCAGGCTGGTGATCAGGGCTGACCTCACACTTGGGCCCACACAGAGGCCATGTGCATCGTGAACACCTGAGGTCAAAGGTTAAAGGTTTACAAGTGTCATATGGTGCACTGTCAGCTGTTGTGTCATATAGTGTACTGTCAGCTGTTGTTTCATATAGTGCACTGTCAGCTGTTGTTTCATATAGTGCACTGTCAGCTGTTGTTTCATATGGTGAACTGTCAGCTGCTGTGTCATATAGAACTGTCAGCTGTTGTTTCATATGGTGTACTGTAAGCTATTGTGTCATACAGTACTGTCAGCTGTGTTTCATATGGTGTACTCTAAGCTGTTGTGTCATACAGTACTGTCAGCTGTTGTTTCTTATGGTGTACTGTAAGCTGTTGTGTCATACAGTACTGTCAGCTGTTGTTTCATATGGTGTACTGTAAGCTGTTGTGTCATACAGTACTGTCAGCTGTTGTGTCATGGTGTACTGTCAGCTGTTGTGTCATACAGTACTGTCAGCTGTTGTGTCATATGGTGTACTGTAAGCTGTTGTGTCATACAGTACTGTCAGCTGTTGTGTCATACAGTACTGTCAGCTGTTGTGTCATATGGTGTACTGTAAGCTGTTGTGTCATACAGTACTGCCAGCTGTTGTGTCATATGGTATACTGTAAGCTGTTGTGTCATACAGTACTGTCAGCTGTTTTCATATGGTGTACTGTCAGCTGTCGTGCCATATAGTACTGTACTGTCAGCTGTCGTGTCATACAGTACTGTCAGCTGCTGTGTCATATGGTGTACTGTCAGCTGTTGTCATTAACTTTGCTTGACTCTCCTAACTACCCTCCTGGTCAGCTGATTTTGCTGACTCCTGACACCCTGGTTTCTGTTATTAAATTGTGCTGTCAGGTGATTGCTGACTTTGGTTAACCTCCTTCACCTCACTGACTGACTCTGCTGACTAACTAACACAACTAACTGACTCTACTGACTAGCTAACACAACTAACTGACTTTACTGGACTAACTCTAATTCAACTAACACAACTAACTGACAAACTGAACTAACACAACTGACTTTACTGACTAACTAACACACAACTAACCGACTTTACTGATAAAAACTCTCTAACTGACCTGTATTTCCCAGACACTCTCCTGTAGCAGCCTAGACATATTGGTTCTGTCTCCTGCTTCGGTCCCAACACCAGCGGCGCCTCCGTCAAGATTAGATCATCCACCTCCAAGTCTCTTGTAGCCACGAGAAGCCGACCCAACTCTTTCTTCTTATTGATCTATTGGGTGGACGAGAGGTTAAAGTCTTGGAGATGGTCTGTATATCGAGGTTAAAGTCTTGGGAGATGGTCTGTATATCGAGGTTAAAGTCTGGGAGATGGTCTTTATATTGAGGTTAAAGTCTTGGAGATGTTCTGTATATTGAGGTTAAAATCTTGGGAGAGGGTCTTTATATTGAGGTTAAAGTCTTGGGAGATGGTCTTTATATTGAGGTTAAAGTCTGGGAGATGGTCTTTATATTGAGGTTAAAGTCTTGGAGATGTTCTGTATATTGAGGTTAAAATCTTGGGAGATGGTCTGTATATTGAGGTTAAAGTCTTGGATATTGTCTGTATATTGAGGTTAAAGTCTTGGGAGAGGGTCTTTATATTGAGGTTAAAGTCTTGGGAGATGGTCTTTATATTGAGGTTAAAGTCTTGAAGATGGGTCTGTATATTGGGGTTAAGGCTGAGGATGATTTACGAGCGTCTGAACATTAAGATTAAAGTCTGAAATATGACCTGAGAGTGTTTGCAGACTGAGTTTATCTTTAATACTCCTATTCAGTTTAAAATTAATCTCAGTAGTTCAGTTAAAGCCTGGTGTGGGGGTGGGGTAATTTAAGTAAGTCTGAAGTCTGAAAGATTAAGTGACTCAACACCAGGGTCGTGACTCAGTGTGACTTACCGTGAAGGGACGGCAGACATCCTTATGGTCAGACCAGCCTTTCTTCTGACATTGCCTGCCGCAGTAGAAGACAGTGCGGCAACCCGTGCATTTAGTATGTGCCGCATGCCCGCAAGCGCCACATGGCCCTCCCTCCTCACACATCACGACACACGTTTACGCCAAGCCTGAAGACAATAATAATAATGATAATGACAATAATAATAATAATGACAATAATAATGATAATGACAATAATATAATAATGTAACAATGATAATTTATAGTAATTTTGAATTACGATACAATATCCGTTGTGGTGCATCTGAATTGATCAAGAAATGAATGAAAATAAATTATAAAACAATAGTAATAGAAAACAATAACATTAGAATCAACAACTACAAAAAATAGCAAAATAATTTATACATTTCATAATAAAGGCGCAGAAGATAGATATAGGAATTAGTCAAAGAATTTTTAGGTTCGAGAAATTCTGATATATTTAAATTTGTAAAGTAATTAGTCCGGTCAAGTAATAAGCAAAATCAAGTAAACAGATTCCAGGAATAAAGTCATTTTAATAGCATGTATGCAATGTACATAAATTTCAATGTACCAAGAGGGTGGTATACTGAGTTGGGGAAAAATTTTAGTAAAAAATTCTGTTATGTTTTGCTCGAAATAATAACAGCCTTAAGTCATAACCCGAGGAACACCAAGATCGCCAAAAACGCCTCTGGTTATGAAGTGTTTGCTGGTTATCGAACGCTACAATGCATATACTGTATGTGGAGGCGAGATCGAAATACATTAAGAGGTGAGTTGATGTGTTTATTTCTTCCCGTGATTTACAGACGGAATTTATCAACCAATTATCTCTGGACGAGGGATCAATTATACCTAGTCTGTAACACTCCGTATACCGTTCGCCATTTTGCTTCAAGTCACTGCGCATGTGTTTATATGACGTCACTTGTTTATAACCTCATTTACACCTGTTTCTGATTTCCAGTTATTAAATAAGTATTTTTTTTTAATTACAACGTATTGTCATTATATTCAGTATCACTTTATGTACATTTCTTTCACTACAATATTCATGAAAGTATTATTATTCTTACTGTTTATTTTCTATGTATCTTTACTGTGTATTTCTAAAGGTATATCATATTTTAAGTTATTTATTATTGTTTAATAATTTCTACCGCATGTTTATAAAAATATTTTAATAGCCATCATTGTTATATCCCCATAACGATTAGTTTTATTAAAAAGGTTAATGTGTAAATGACCAAACTTATTATTTATTGTAAATTTGTAATATCTCCAAACCCCGACTATGTATTTTGGTTGTACATAGATTAAGCCTCGTGTCAGTCACCTCAAAAATATATATGTAAATAGATTCTGTGTCATCGTTACGTACCACCACTTGGTAAATTGGATCACATGACGTTTAGCCTCATATCTTATTTCACCGAATGATTAAACACCCTAGCGCTAACCTAACCTATTAATATTGAAAAAAAAAATAATGTATGTTTTTTGTTTCCTATGATTTAATCTTTTTTTTCCTCATAATTTCCACGATGGGGACTTAGTTTATATAGCTTTAGATGTATGTTGTTGTGTCGTGTTTTTCTTTACAAGTAAATTAGTCTAATTTCTTACCTTTTTCTTTCTGATAATAGTTGTATAGAGCCTTTTTGTGACCCTATCTAGCACTAAGAACACTGAGCGAGTGCCACCAGGTAAACACACGTGACACCCAGTACTACCACGGTCCTCCACCACGGCCAAAATTGCCTTTCCCCCTATGCTCCTACGTCTGGCCGACACCCTCCTTGGCAAGTAACTTATGTGGATGTTGTCGTACCGCTTCGTTCTTTATAATTATAGACTTTACCATGAGTCAAAGTGGTGCCCATTTCTGCGGTTTGTGTTGATGAAATGTAAATAGTGTTTTATTTTTTCATCGCTGAGTACAATATATGAAACAAATAGATGCTTAGATAGATTCAAATAAAGATAACTGGATCCTCGTGCAAGAATCGTTCACTGGCGCCTGAAATAAAGCAACACGTAATTCGGGTAATGTCTACGCTCGGTTTCAGTCATTTTTCGTATCTCTAGTTTCACTCAACCTGCACCTGATCTGCCATACATTAAGGTCCTTCTCATCTGCCAAGAAAGTCACCCCGAACAAGGACACACATACGCTATAACGTCAAAATGAGTTCATCGTACGTGGGAGACAGTCTAGGAGCGCTATCCAAACTTACTAGTCATGATTTTTCGATATATTGGACATTTTAGTTTAGGAATTATTGCAGTGTTGTGGTTTTTATGTAAATTCTAACATTAATTCGTATTTTAAGTTCATACAAATATAAAAAGGAGTAAAGGTGAATTCTTTGTATAATATATAATGGTTTAATGTGTACTGCCGTTCCAACTGTAGTGGTGATGGTTATTGTGGTGGTAGTGATGTTTGTGGAAGGAGAAGTTGATGGTTATTGTGGTGGTAGTGATGTTTGTGGAAGGAGAAGTTGAGGGTGGTAGTAGTGGTGGTAGTGGAGGGAGAGGTTGAGGGTGGTAGTAGTGGTGTTGGTAGTGGTGGGGGTAGGTTGAAATTAATTAATTGGTGTTAGTAGTGGAGGAGAGGTTGAAGTGTGGTAGTAGTGGTGGGAGAGGAGTTGAAAATTGGTAGTAGTGGAAGGAGAGGTTGAGGGAGTGGAAGTGGTGGTGGTGGTGGTAGTGGAGAGGAGAGGTTGAGGTGGTAGTAGTGGTGGGAGAGGTTGAGGGTGGTAGTAGTGGTGGGAGAGGTTGAGGTGGTAGTAGTGGAAGGAGAGGTTGAGGTGGAAGTGGTGGTGGTGGCGGTGGTGTTAGTGGAGGAGAGGTTGAGGTGGTGAAGTAGTGGTGGGAGGTTGAGGGTGGTAGTGGTGGTGGTGGTAGTGGAGGGAGAGAGGATTGAGGTGGTAGTGGTGGTGGTAGTAGTGGTGGTGGTGGTAGTGGAGAAAGAGGTTGAGGTGGTAGTAGTGGTGGAGGGTTGAGGGTGGTAGTAGTGGTGGGAGAGGTTGGGGGTGGTAGTAGTGGTGGTGGTGGTAGTGGTGGGAGGTTGAGGTGGTAGTGAAATTGGGAGAGAGGTTGAGGGAGTGGTAGTAGTGGTGGGAGAGGTTGGGGTGGTAGTAGTAGTGGTGGTGTTAGTGGTGGGAGGTTAGGGTGGTAGTAGTGGTGGTGGTGGTGGTGGGGAGAGGTTGAGGGTGGTAGTAGTGGAGGAGGTTGAGGTGGTAGTAGTGGTGGGAGAGGTTGAGGTGGTAGCAGTAGTGGTGGTGGTGGTAGTGGAGGAGAGGTTGAGGTGGTAGTAGTGGTGGAGGAGGTTGAGGTGGTAGTAGTGGTGGTGGTGGTAGTGGAGGGGAGAGGGTTGAGGGGTGGTAGTGAGAAAAGTGGTGGTAGTAGTGGTGGTGGTAGTGGAGAAAGGTTGAGGGGTGGTAGTAGTGGTGGGAGAGGTTGAGGGTGGTAGTAGTGGTGGGAGAGGTTGAGGGTGGTAGTAGTGGTGGTAGTAGTGGTGGTGGTGGTGGTAGTGGAGAGAGGTTGAGGGTGGTGGAGGTACAGCAGCTGAAAGTTGCCACGTGGTAGGTGTATAAATAACTTCGCCATCCGCCCGCCACAGTTTAGTTCAGTTCTGCCTCCCCTTACCACGTGACGCTGGACACACACACACACACACACACACACACACACACACACAGTGGATAATTCGGTTTATTATAGATAAGAAAATAAATGTATTAACAATTTATTATATTATTTGACTTATTATGGAAATGAAAATGAGTACAATTACTTAAGAATAAATCATTAAGCCTGACAGTTTCTTCCTTTGACAACAACCTTTGAAAATAAATATATTCCTTATGATATTTTTGACGTCTAAGAACAATTTTCAAACCAAATTTCAAATGATTCAAATTCTAAATAAAAGTTCTGATAAAAGTCTACGGTGAAAAAAGATAGTTTTCTGTCAGTTGGTCGTGGGTGATGCTGAATTTACAAAACTTTTTGGTAAATTCTACAAAAAAGTCGTATTTCCCACCTGTAGGAAAAGTTCCATTTAATTTTCACACAATCTGTCGTAACTTCCTCAAAAAAGAAGAAGTATGTTCTTGTATTATAGGTTTACAGTGAAAGGTCTTGCTGATTTATGTATGTTCTTAGTATTAAAATACATAGTGACGTCAGAGTCTATACTACAAGACAGTGATATACTGCAAAAGCCGATAAAATTCTTGAAGATTTTTATGTTTATATTATTTACGAGGGTTTACCAATACAAGGAATGATGTAGAGAGTATGTAGGGAACTGAATAAGATCATGACTACAGTACACACAGTGGCCGAACCTACTTGCGTGTGGCTATCGAGGGAAGTAAAATGAACTATACAGGCGTATCCTTGCCAACCACACTAACTACATATACCATAAGCATACTAACACACATTCCCCAGCAAGGACACACACACATGTAGGTACAGCTTGGTGATTCAGTACCCCAAGCACTCTGATAGGACTCCCTTACTGCAGCTGTCGCGTTTCCTTATTACCTAAAACTTTTCAGCTTTAACTTCGTATATTTGTTGTTCCATTCTTATAAACACAAACCGTTTGGCATCAAGTACAGTACCCCGACTTTATATGACTTTGTGTTTCACTCTTTCACTCCCCATAACACTTTTATAAACTTACTAACGTGTGAAATAAAACACCTCAATATTGTAAGAGATATTTACTGTTATTAACAAATTTGAACAGCTTAACACATTTCCGGTCTAGCAAATATTATTGCACTTACCTTCGAATCTAATTACTTAACACTAGATAAAAAGTAACATCCACACTTACGTCTAACACATTAAAATCATTAGCATGTAACACTTATCACATAGATTGTGTTTTCCTGGATACACAAAGCAGAAATCGAACATAGTTTACATCTAATATAGGACACACACACACCACATCTTTGCCGCGTTGTGGTCAGGCTAGGACGGGTGGAGTGGGCCAGCTCACCATTACCCTGACCTGGTAGCCTTCCTCACCACATGGCAGCCTAAGACTTTTTACTCCTAAAATAAATTCAAATCTTATCAGACTACACAATCCCGTGTGCTAATACAGTGTTCAATGGAAGCCACTATTGGAATTTCCAGCATATGCATTTGGCAATTCAGCCTTAACCTGCCTGAAAACTTGGGTAAAAACTCTTTGATTTAATGAAATGTATTCCTCAGTAGCCACAATGTATCTTTATACTGTATTTGGTATCTCTCACTAGAGTGCAAACATTTCATCGATTGTTACTGATGATGACTACATTTGCCAGATTTCTCAGTGATCATGAATGACTCCTAACTCTTGTGGCTGACTAGCAAATAATCTGAACGGTCAATAAGAAGAGTATGGAGAACATGGGAAAGTGATCCAAAAGGGAAGGCAACAAGCCTCATACAGCCATACATAAACAAGGGCAACACTTAGGGAGATGATAGCGTCGCCTCCCACTGCCGTAGTTCTGCCAGATTTTGTTGAGCTACTTGACAGAGCTGACCTTCGGGCTGGTCCTCAGGTTCGTCTTGCAACACACGAATACACTGCTGCAGGAGCGCCTTAGCTGTTTCGACGTCCTTTTTGAGCGCTGCAGAGTCTACGTGCTTCGCGTCTGGCTCTTGTCGAGCTCGAGCGAGAACGGCGAGGTGATACTCGTAGAGGGCGATGCCGGCGTAGGGCGCCAGGCGGGACATGCCCGGATCCAACGCCGTGCACACCTTGAGGAAGTCCTGACACATTTTCTCCTTCTTCTTCATGGACTCCTCGCCAGCACTGGAAGGGTCGCGGCCGTACATTTGAAGTAATGTGTGACGAGCAGCGAACAGATGGAAGTGATTCGGATGTACCAAATTCTTGCCGTGTCGCTGAACTAGTTTTTCCAGTGAGTCGACAGACGGCATCGCTAGTGCTGCCTCAACCTCCTCCCCTATTTTTAAATTAATTTCTTTCACTTCGTCACTGGTTACGGTGGCGTTGCAGGAGGTACAGATCCAGGCAGCTAACTCGTCGAGGGGCGCGGCGGACAGCATGAAGCCATTCGGACACTGTTTACAGCGGAGGGCCGAGAAGTGTGTGCCGAGCTCCGTTGGGTCGGAACAGCGGAAACAGGTGCACATGAAGTACTTGCTGTGCTTGAGGTGGTCACGACGCGCCGCTGTGCCCCACAGAACGTGTGTGTACATTGTACTGATATGTTCCCCACGTTTGATATCCACTGCCGCTTTTACTATCACTTGGCGCTCCTTGTTGAAGGTGTGCTTGCTATTGGGTGTGCATGAGTGCTCTAGCATGGCAAAGGTTGGGTACAGCCCCAACACCTCTGAATGCTTCAGTCGAAGCTCGAGGGAGTTGACGTCGGTGATGCCGGTGATGGTGTGGATAGACTTCTCTGAGCTGTCAATGTCCTCGATGGGGAACTCCTGGATGAAGAAATAGTTACGGAGGAAGTTGACGATGCTCTTCTGGTTCTCCTGGTGGACGTGCGTGCCTTTGCGGTCCTCGTAGTGGCTCTCCAGTGACAACAGTTGTTCATACTTCTTGGGCGACTTCTTCTTCAGAGCCAGACATCTGCCGGAGGGACAATGACTGTTAACCATCAAATCTGTTTTTCATTAATAGTTCCCTACCTGATGCCTGGGCAGAAAGTACCATTATTCTGAAACCCGAACCTCAGCCACACAAAGTTTAAACCATCTCCCTCACCTGCTGCTAAGGGAAACCCTCGAACTATATCTCTAACCATTTTTTTTATTCATCTCTGTGGTTCCCACCCAGGACAGACTTCCCATCACTACCCTTGAACACTTCCTCCACTACCCTTCATTTTCACAGTCTTCACTAACCTCAAGGCCGTCACTTTTGATATCAGCAATAGACATAATCCTGGAGCAGTTCAAGGCCCTCAATACTATAGTGTCTTCAGGTGGGTCAGTTAGACACACCTCGTGGTGTTAGTAAAGATTTGAAACTTTTGACAAGAGGTTACAGCGCCGTCGAGGATGTTATGGTCTTAGTTCTTGTCTTATAACACTAAAGCTTTTACAAGATATTAATTAAGTTTTAGGTGTCTTTAAACGTTGAGTGAAGACTTTCTAAAGATCTAAAACAACCTGAAGAGGAAATGAAGTTTAACATAGCCAAGTCCTGATCTCGGTTTAACTGAAATATTACACCATTATCATCGTACAAACTCAGGCACGTACCAACAGCTCGATAAAACCCAGAGCTTATATTACAAGTGACACAACTCGATAACTTGGGATCAGTTCATCTCTGATTTAGAATAAAGATACAACTATAAGTTTACCTTCCAACAATCAGACACCAAACTGACAAGTGACCCAAACAGAAAATCGACCTCGATTACTCTACAAGGTGATGCAGTGTGGTTACCTTAGAGGAAAGATGACCTCGTAGAAGTGATTAGGCTCGTCGAAGTTGGCTATATCGATGGGTGAGCCTATCTCCTGCCCCACCACACACTCCGGCAGGTGGTCAGGAGAAGACTCGCACGCAGGTCCACACATCGGCCAGTTGCACTTCTGACACCTAATAGAACGAATGTCCAAAAATTAAAACTTCAACTCAGTACAAGGTTTTATGTATTTGTGTTTAATATATATATATATATATATATATATATATATATATATATATATATATATATATATATATATATATTTCATGTAAATCCACAATGAAAACGTGGATAAGATAAATCTTGATAAATCACACGGGAAAATGGAAACAACGGAGCACCTTAGCTTTTCGTCTTTATTCCATTTTCCGTGTGTCTATATATATATATATATATATATATATATATATATATATATATATATATATATATATATATATATATATATATTGCTGTACATATAAGGATCTCAATGTAGATAAGTTGCTAATGGCTTTCTTGGGCTATTCTTGGTTAAATCAACTTATTGTTTACTTATGTCTGTATACTTGAATTGTATATATACTGAACTGAAGTGAACTGACTATATACAGTATGTATGTATACTCTTTATAGATGACGTTCTTGAAGTAGTTTGTAAGTGTGTTAAGAGTCGATAGGTTGGTTTGGTTAGATTAGGTAAGGTTGGCTGGGCTAGGTAAGGTTGGCTGGGTTAGGTTAGGTTGGCTGGGTTAGGTTAGGTTGGCTGGGTTAGGTAAAGTTGGCTGGGTCAGGTAAGGTTGGCTGGGCTGGGTAAGGTTGGTTGGGTTAAATAGTTTGATAATTTAACCATTCTAGTTACGATTAGCTTGTGTAGTACTATGATAATAACGTCAATGTTGTATTCCTATGGAGATTCAACACATGACACGTGATACAGTATTTAATTTATATTGGTCGTCTGCCAGATTTGCATCCTGTATAAAAAACAAAATGTCATAGCCGTGGTTGTTGTTGCCGTTGGTCCATCATTATGACGTGAACTGCCTCAGTATGGGAGGCACTAGGCTAAGGTTCAGCTACGGCCAATATTCCCTCAATATTTGGCATCTATTTGTAGGTCATACATGCAGGGGACGGGCGGGGTGGGTAAGGTGTCAGGACCCAGGGAGTTTTGGAAGTCTGGGCTGTGGAGGACGTGGTCTTTATTTTCAGAATATTTTATCAATTTCACTTTTCATGGTTCATTTATTTTCGTAGGGAAACGTTTAATCTCGATTTTAGTTGAACATAGAAAATATTAGTTGTTTTTGGACATAATTCTCAGGTTTGATGTATTTTGACGTGATGAGAAGTATAAAAATAACTCTGAAACGAGATTTGATAAGTTTAAACTCAAATAAATCTTCCTTAACGAGAGTAGCGGCTTCGAGTCAGTTCAGTGCTATGTTTGTTTACGGGTGTCATAGTTCCTCCTCTTCTGTTATTCTCCCTCACACACAAACATATAGGCAACGAAAGGGGTGTGAGAGACCTCTTCCCTCCTTTACTGTAATGTTTGTACATATTTAGACCACAGTGGGGGCTGGCGGGGAGAAACATCTCGCCCCACACTCTACAAAACGAGGCGTGTAGGCGAGAGAGGGGGGGCGGGGAGGTTGAAATACGGACCCAGAACCAGAACCGAATTTCTATACTAAAATCACGGGGTTCGTTAATTTAATGTTGGTTAGGTTAAGTTTAAAGGTTCGGCCCCGAGTTTTGTGAGTGAGTATTGGAATTTTTACCCTTTCCTAGAGGATTGGTAAACAGCCAGTGACCAAGCGATAATTCTAAATCTAGACTTTGTTTAAGTTGGGGAAACGTTTGTGTGTGTGTGTGTGTGTGTTTGTATAAAGAACTCCCCTCAGTGACGTGATGGTAACGCAGATCAGTTATTTTTACGGCGCCCAGACCCACCTACTGTATAGTACTATGTGCGGTGTGCGCCAGCTACTGCCTCCCCGGTCGAGTGAGCCAGGAAACACTACCAACGAACGAACACTGGCTGCTCTTGTATACTTAGCTTCGATAAACAAATGAAAGATAACAAGATAACTACAGAAATTCATGTAGAGTAGATAATAAAATAAAATAAATATCAACTAAATGGTCATTTTCCTTCAACATACGATGCTGCTGTGTTGTGACTCGTGGCGTTAAGTCTAAAAATAAACGGCAGCAGATTTTGTTTCCGTGGCTACGCGTTAGCTCACTGCTGGAATGTGAGCCAGCAGTAACTTGACACGTTACACGCACTACCTTTTAACATTTCCTTCTGTTGGTGTGTTAATGAGTGGCGGAGTCCAACACTAAAAACATTTGAAATTATCTTTATAATTTTTATCATGTGACAAGTTCATTATTTCCAGGAGAAAACTAAATTATATTCTTGTTTTAAAATAGGTCATATGCTTTTCTCTACATAGTAAATAGTATACAAAGGCTATTTTTAGTAGATATATACAATAAAAAACACTGATTTCATACCCTTATCTTTGTATAGTTTTCCAATAATAACCAAAATATGTGTCCCATTTACCTGTAGGAGCCGTCCACTCTTGCGTAGCAGCCCAGACAGATGGGTTCAGTGATCTGTTTGGGGCCCACCACGATGGGATCTTCCTTCAGGATGACGTCGCCCGCCTTCAGGTCACGTGACGCTACCATGTACCGTCCCAGCTCTGCCGACTCCAACACCTGGGGGAAGGAGAATAAGGTACTTTACTTTGTTTAATCCTCCAGATATATACACACCACTTTCTTGAGTCACAGATAAAACGGAGAAATATGCCATTTTTTACACTTATTGCGTGCATAATTACCTGTATACTTATTTTGACATTAACTTGTAATTGTTCTTGCACGTGATGTTCATCCAAGACCACCACAAGTCGCCATGATGAGAAATATGTACAAATTTTTAGATACATTATCACCCCGACATATGCTTTACCATCTAGCATGAATTGTGGTGTAACCGATTATTTCTTTGCATACCTCGGGGAATATGGCGCCATTACTGTTACTTAAAATAAATGTTCTCTAAAAACACACCTTTATTCGCTTTGTTTTTAATATTACTACATAAAGCTTTTCGTTAATGTTGATAAATAACATCAAACAAGTGTAGGACAGTGACAGTTCCTTTATACATTTGGCTTCTCATTCACCAGTCACAATTTATACTCCAACTCGTGTTTACATTGGCGTCTGTGTAAGATTGGACGAGGCTAAATACACGAATGTTATGTATACGCCGTTGAAGCTTAAGTGGTTCATAATGGTGTAGCCAAGCCATAAGTCATGTTTGGATTTAGCTGTGGCGAACTGGTGGTGTATTTAGTCTTTTTACACCGGGTATAGTGAGCTAAATAGATGGTACAGATGGAGTGAGGGCGTGAGGGTTGTGCTGGTGCCAAATTGTCTCTGTAGGGCAGGAGAGCTCCCCGGTATTACAGTATAGGTCACTCTTAAGAAAGAATTCACCAGCTCGTCCATACTAATTGTATTTACCTGCGGCTTCGTCCAGGTGGAAAAACAAGAGATATAGTGTATGATTATCACCTGGGCAACCCGCACCTCCCTACCAAATTTTAGCTTTTCTTCAAAACTGTGGAAATACATAATGAACACACGAACACACACACACACACACACACGTTGATTTATTTGCTTTACAATTTATTTAACCCGCATGATGTATAGTGTTCCGCCCCTGCCATGAGTCGTCTGTTACGGCTACTCAATAAAACTCGTGGATAATTATCTTAGAAAGTAATTTAAGGTAAGGGTATATCTGCTGTTCACTATTTTTGAGTTTTTGTTATAGTTTCTTGTGATTTTTTAATTGTAAATGACATAATATCAAAGCTTTTCGATTCCTGCCTCCCCCCCCCCAACAATATATAGGAAAAAAACGCACTGCTACCCAATTTGGTGTCTAAGCGCCCCCTTGTCATCTGGTGGGAATAATATTAACTATTTTATCTCCATAAACGACCCAAGTTACGGAACCCATTGTATGTAATCAGTCGACTTCTTCTCATTGAATCATTTTTTACGTTCCTGTGTTTCCAAGTTAACTAATTCTGTTCCCTGCGTTACTCTTCTCGTATTTAGATTATCCACATTTTAACTTATATTTAATGCTGATCGGTGCACGTAAGTAACAGCAGCGAGAGTGGATTATGGCCGATATATTTTACATGTGTTCGTGTAGTCAGGTTTTGTTTGACTTGTACCTTGATATATCGAGAGGGTTGGCAAGCCTTCGTGTATTGTGGGTAATTGTGATTTTTATGAAGGGTTCTGACATATGTGGCTTATATATGGTAATGATAGATGTGTTTTAATGGATGTTACTGAGGAAGATGGTAATATTCCTCAACTGAAGGCCTGAGGAAGATGGTAATATTCCTCAACTGAAGGCCTGGGGAAGATGGTAATATTCCTCAACTGAAGGCCTGAGGAAGATGGTAATATTCCTCAACTGAAGGCCTGAGGAAGATGGTAATATTCCTCAACTGAAGTCCTGAGGAAGATGGTAATATTCCTCAACTGAAGGCCTGAGGAAGATGGTAATATTCCTCAACTGAAGGCCTGAGGAAGATGGTAATATTCCTCAACTGAAGGCCTGAGGAAGATGGTAATATTCCTCAACTGAAGGCCTGAGGAAGAGTAATATTCCTCAACTGAAGGCCTGATAATGTATACTATATTAGTTCACTCAGTCTAAAGGGCAAAAATAATAGAAATATGAGTAAAATAACAATGAAAATACCTTAACGAAATACATTCCTAACTACAAGGTACATTTTTTTTTTACGTAGATGTAAATTTTGTCTCCTTGCTGGTGTTAAGTGAACCGATTTAGTAAGGTAATTTCAAGGTAATTTTCGATTTATTCGTTTTGTTTTTGTTTTAGTCAACCGGACATGTTCATTCTAAGAACATAAGACACGAGGCATTTTCGTCCCGCAAACATCATTACATCAACACCGTACTATCAAAACAACCATTCGTTTAACACCAAGGTTACTTTTAATTTATGTCGACGTTAAAATGGTTCCTTGCAATGTTAAAACAAAATAGATTCGTGTTAAATTAAATATAAACTAAATCATTTGACATTAACTGCAATAAAATTGGTGGTGTTGGTATAAAGGATAAATATAAGATGATGGTGGTGTAGATATATTGTGTGAGCTTTATCCGTCGACGGTTTATGAGGCAGCCCCGCGGTCTCTCTCTCTAATCTCGGGTAGCATCAGTAGGTGGCGTCACGAGCTATTATGGCACATGAGGTTAGGTTAGGTTAGGTTAGGTTCCTCCACTCCCTATTTCGGTTTAAATCCACGTTTATGAGGGTTATGGCGTGTGTTGATTGGTTCTTTTTGACCGCCATTCCGTCCCCTGAGTGTTCCTTACGCGCTTAATTAAAGATCTTAGATGTTAAAGCGCAGTGATATAACATTATAAGCGCAGTGATATAACATTATAACAATAACAACTCCAACATCCTGACACATCAACATAAATATAAACTGAGTAACGATGACTTAGCCCCTTGAGTATGATGACTTAACCCCTTGAGTCAAAGGGTTGAGATATCGTACTCAACAGTGATAATATCAGCCAATAGCCTAATCAAAATAAAAGCCCTAATTAATTTGAATTTTATAAAGTACCAGAAGAATAAATTTTCATTTGTTAGAAATTTTACTTTTTCATTTCTATACGTTAAAGAAATTGAGGTTTATAGGTTCGGGATGTTGGGATTCAGGGTGTTGGGGTTCGGGGTGTTGGGATTCGGGGGTGTTGGAGTTCGGGGTGTTGGGGTTCGGAGTGTTGGGATTCGGGGTGTTGGGATTCGGGGTATTGGGTTCGGGGTGTTGGGGTTCGGAGTTGGGATTGGGATTGGGTTCGGGGTGTTGGGATTCGGGGTATTGGGTTCGGGGTATTGGGATTCAGGGTGTTGGGGTTCGGGGGGTGTTGGGGTTCGGGGTGTTGGGGTTCGGGTTGTTGGGATCGGGATCTGGGGTTCGATAGTTGGCTTCAGACTATTTCACCGTGTTGTTCTTACCTGAAAGGGTTGGCACTGGTCCTTGTGGCCATTTTTCCAGTGTTCCCGCTGACACTCTCTCTTGCAGTAGAAGGCCTGGCGACAGTTAGCACAGCGTAGCTTGGCCAGGAAGCCGCAGTTGGCGCACATCCCGACCTCGGGCTCCTGCTGCTCCTCCCCTCCCTCCATCCTACACAGACACACGCACATACATACACGGACAGTTTAGAATATGGCACAATATTATGGTTAATATTCTAGATTTTTTTATTTTATTTATTAGAATGTTTCAATAAATTTACATACAGTAATTTCTCCTTTAATACCTAAACTTGCAAAGATAGCTAAACAAATTTAGTCTGATTTTTTTAGTTGACGGTACGACCCCCCCTTGCAGCTCGTTGGCTCATACGTCAATCAATCAGAATACCGTCCTCTTATCTGAGGGTTGGTGACTTCAGTCCTTCACTATAAACGTCTCGGGCTGCTTTTACCAATTCTCTAGTGTTTTGCATCTCTCTGGTACCGTCAGCTAAAAAACCCCGACCATTTATAAGTCATTCCACGACTAAATTACCTAAATGAAATGTAAAAGCATTATTATTCCTTCCTTAGGCTTAAATATAGATATACAAAAGAAAAAACTAGAAAATAAGAATAATTTACAAATTAACAATTTAGGAAATATCGTCACAGTTCAGTCTTCCAGACATGAAGATTGTAAAATAGCCATAATACCCCACACAAAATTTATTTCCATTACTCTGGGAAGTATTAAGTGTATTATCGTCTAATATTGATGACTAACCCGCTGACGTGTTGTTTGTTTTGATGTTTATAACCTTACTATATTTTCATCATTGAGTTCTGATATGATAATCATTTTTTTGGAAACTTTCATTTGGAAAATCGGTGGCGGGTCAGTCGTCAATAATAACCATATTCTCAAGTATTATCAATGCATGTTCAGCCTGTATTAACGGTGATTGTCAGCTCATCATTTCGCTTGACACAGTTCGTCGTAGCCACAGAGTAGCCCAGTGACACCCGGACACCATAAATGACTCAAGCAACACATTTCATGACCTGTCAATCTCATTCAGGGTCTAATTCTACCATTTAAACTATTTTGGAGCTACTTTTCAAAACAAGGTATTCCTGTTTCACGGCCCCATCACATAACTAAACTCTTCTCTAAGTGACTTACTACGAATTTCTTCATTCTTTTCGTTTCTATAATAGTTAGCAGATTATTCATATTTCTTCTATTACCTTTACTTGCTATTTGAATCCTTATCCATACAGAAAAAATACTATTGATTACTATATATAGACAACCTGAAATAACACATGCATTGTAAAGGTATAGATCCTAAGAAGAAAGTTACTGCACTTATTGTAAGGTATTGAATTCCATATAGAAGTCTACTAGATCATCTTCTCTCAGTGGTATCCCAGTTGCAAAGGTTTTGATCCAATTAAAGAGTAAATACAGATCTGGCACTTATGTAAGAGTATTTTGTCTAAGAAAAAAAAACTCAACACAGACAAATGTAAGTAAATAGCTTACAAAAATATATTAGCAAAAGAACAATAACTACACAAAAAATCGTAATATTAACATTCTTAACAAAAACATGAAAAACCAAACAACAAAAACAAATGCTAGTACTATTAGCCATTAAACTACTACTACTACTTTTACTACAACTACTTTTACTATAACTACTACTACTACTACTACTACTACTACTACTACTACTACTAATAATAATAATAATAATAATAATAATAATAAAGACAACAGGTTCATAAAAAAATAAGGATACTGTAGACATTTGCTCCTGGCTCGGGTCCGGCTCCAGACATAACTTAGCCTAATGTAAAGCTAATCAGGCGCTAAAGGGGTGTTTATTTTGCACATACTGTAGGCTATGTTATATCAGGTTCTCTAGTAGAAACTGAGAGCCAAACCCGGTTCAGTAGCCACTTTGACATTTTCCTAATTATAACGAAAACAACACAATAACGACGCTAAGTAAACAAATATGGAACTTAATTAAGAAAACACCATTTGTTAATATACGTGAATGGATATGAAAAATTTTACTGTATCTATTTAATTGGATCATCAACGCTCTAGGTGTTTAACTATAGTAATAATAATCCTTGGGAAATTCTCCACAATCTTGACAAAAGCAAATATAGATCAGTTGTTGAACCTCTTTAGTGAATAACATACGTAAACACTAATCGATGTTTTATAAGTTAAGTTCACTGTAAACACTTAAAGTATTCATCTCATTACAGAACTAAACATAGTTAATAAAGTAATCGACCGAGGAAAGCTAATTCAGGTAGCCTAAGCCACGACTCCCCAAATAAACAGGGAAGTGTTGATTATCGACATCCTCACAGGTATTTCTGGCTCGCATAGTGACCTTCATTTGAAATTAATTTCTACTGAGTCGCGTTCACATGTACCTCTAAGCTTTAGGGTAAGGGTTCTGAACGTGGGGGTAGATGAGACACATTTCTAGGGTGTATACAGAATATACCACATGTATCATTTTTTTTTATGATACACATAGTTTATTAAAGATGTCATACCTCACACTGAGACCAAGGGGGCACACCGACCGCAAAGGGTTCAGAACCACTTCTTTAGGGGACAGAACCACTGTTTTGGGTGACGGAACCACCGCTTTAAGGTTCAAAACCAGTTTAGGGGATAGTATTGATTCCTAAAAGAGTGTGATAAATAAAAAGAAATGCATCCAATATGCAAAGCACAAACCATCAATATATTAATACTAAAAGCTGTCAAACGCTCTCATGAACATATGATGACCTGAAGCTTCGACGTCGGAGTCCAGGAAGATCTGCTGCAGCTGGCGACTCCTCCTTCTCCGACGACACCTTGGATCTGTCTTCCGTCACATCAGTCTCCTCTTTCTTAGCTTGCTTCTGTTTATTCTTAGCTTTCTTTTGCCTTGCTCCTGTGTTCTTCGTTTTGTTTGGTGTCGTCGCTATGTCGCCAGCATCCTGCGAGTCGCCACGTGCTGTTCGCTGCGGAGTGTTTACCGCGTTGTCGGGGAGGCGTTGGCTTTTGTTTACATCCTTAGCCTTGGCCTCCGATCGTTGGAATGTCACTCGCCGATCTCGCGTTCTAACCGACTGTTGTTGTTCCTGTTCTCCAACGTTCTTCGAGGTTGTTTGTTCTCCATCATCCTGAGAACTCGCTTTTTCGCTAATGATTCGGTCAGTTTGTACATCGTTGCCTATGGTTGTTTTTTTGTTAGAGACTTTTGCTGACAGATGTTCTTCATTCTCTTCTGATTTTGTTTGTTTTTGGCTCTTCTTGGTTGGTGTTTGTTCTTGACTCTCCTGGGTTGGTGTTTGTTCTTGGCTCTTCTGGGTTGGTGTTTGTTCTTGGCTCTTCTGGGTTGGTGTTTGTTCTTGACTCTCCTGGGTTGGTGTTTGTTCTTGGCTCTTCTGGGTTGGTGTTTGTTCTTGACTCTTCTGGGTTGGTGTTTGTTCTTGGCTCTTCTGGGTTGGTGTTTGTTCTTGGCTCTTCTGGGTTGGTGTTTGTTCTTGGCTGACTCTCTTGGGTTGGTGTTTGTTCTTGGCTCTTCTGGGTTGGTGTTTGTTCTTGGCTCTTCTGGGTTGGTGTTTGTTCTTGACTCTCCTGGGTTGGTGTTTGTTCTTGACTCTCTTGGGTTGGTGTTTGTTCTTGACTCTCTTGGGTTGGTGTTTGTTCTTGGCTCTTCTGGTTTGGTGTTTGTTCTTGACTCTCCTGGGTTGGTGTTTGTTCTTGACTCTCCTGGGTTAGTGTTTGTTCTTGACTCTCCTGGGTTGATGTTTGTTCTTGACTCTCCTGGGTTAGTGTTTGTTCCTGACTCTCCTGGGTTAGTGTTTGTTCTTGACTCTCCTGGGTTTGTGTTTGTGCCTGACTCTCCTGGGTTGATGTTTGTTCTTGACTCTCCTGGGTTAGTGTTTGTTCCTGACTCTCCTGGGTTAGTGTTTGTTCTTGACTCTCCTGGGTTTGTGTTTGTGCCTGACTCTCCTGGGTTGATGTTTGTTCTTGACTCTCCTGGGTTAGTGTTTGTTCCTGACTCTTCTGGGTTAGTGTTTGTTCTTGACTCTCCTGGGTTAGTGTTTGTTCTTGACTCTCCTGGGTTAGTGTTTGTTCTTGACTCTCCTGGGTTATTGTTTGTGCCTGACTCTCCTGGGTTAGTGTTTGTTCCTGACTCTCCTGGGTTAGTGTTTGTTCTTGACTCTCCTGGGTTAGTGTTTGTTCTTGACTCTCCTGGGTTAGTGTTTGTTTTTGACTCTCCTGGGTAGGTGTTTGTTCGTCACTGTTCCCATAGGACGCCTGACTTATACTGACAGAGGAATCAACTTGTTCTCTTTGGGATGATAGCTGTTCTTCGTTATTCTGACACGTAGACTGTTCTTCTTCACTCTGCTGTTTGAGTGCCTCACTTTCACTGTTCTGACCTGATTGTAGTTCTCCATTCCATCGTGTTGGCGTCTTGTTTACACTATTATGAGGTGTTAATTGATCTTCAGGCGTCGGGGGTGTCACATGCTCTTCACCAACCTGGGAAGGAGTCAGATGATCACCGATGTCACTTTTGGCCACATGTTCTCTGATATCCTGCGAGTCTCTTTGTTTCTCTTTGTTATGACACGCCCGATCGTCTCTTGTTTTCGTAGGGGGTTCGTTAGCTTTGCCCTGTGGACTTGCTTCTTCTTGTTCTTTCTGCGTGTTTTGTTCTCCCTTGTCCTGTTTGTTTGTGTGTCTTTTGATATATTTTGTCGTAACTTGGGCGTATGTTTGTTTCTCGTTGCCCTTATTCTTTATTTGTTCCTCGTTGCCCTTATTCTTTATTTGTTCTGTGTTCTCGGTGGCGACTGGTTCATCAATGCTCTGGGAGTTTGATTGTTCTTTCGTGGTTTCTGATTTTCTTTGATCTCCATTAACACTAGCACGAGGCTTTCTGTTGCGTCTCCCCTGTTCTCCGCTGTAGGTCGTCGTGTGCCCCTTCCTGGTAGTATTTACGTGTTCTTCGTTAAAGCTGGTGGTGCGACGCCTCGTGGTGTTATAGCCACCTTGTTCTTCACTCGTGCTAGTAGTACGTCGTGTTCTGTTGGAATGTTCTTCGCCGTAGCTGTAAGTACGAGGCTTTCTGTGTGAGCCTCCCTGATCTTCGCTGAAACTTGTGGTGCGGTAGTTCCTGTTGCTTCTATTAGGGCCTTGGCCTCTGCTGCCCCGGTAGGCCCTCTTTCCCCTAGTCCCTCTGGAGGAGCCTTGTTCCCTATTGCCCTTGGGAGCGTCGGTGCCAGTGGCAGAGGAATTTTCGGTTTTAGTTGTTTCACTCACAGATGCGGCTGGAATATTCGCGCTGTCGCCTGACTGGACAATGGTGCCACTGGGAGAGGAATTTTCGGGTTTGGGTGTTTCACATGTGGGCGTTGTTGGGGTAAGTGCGGTGTCTCCAGAGGGAATTTTATCTGAGGAACAGGGTTTAGCAAGAGATTGGCAGGTGTCAGGCGTAATGTTGGGAGGGGTGTTGTCTGTTAAATCACTGCCATCTTGGGAGGAATTGCCTTTAGCATGACTGTCAATGCTGGACGTGTTGCCACTGTTAATAGCAATGTTGTTAGAGTTTTCGGTAACAGCGTCGTGTTGACAACTGCTCGTGTCGATTATGGAAGATTTGGCATCGCTGGAGGAATGAATGTCACCTGTCGATGGGGATATGTCGTTCGCTGAAGTAAAATCGATCGACGCACCTTCGTTCTTCGTCGAATCGTCGTTCGTAGAGATATTCCTTTCGTGCGCCACGGAACATTGTTGGAACGCGTGTGACGGCGAGTCTGCTGAAAACTGGCGCGAATCTATGGACTTTACTACGAGTTCTCTAGTTTCGTTTAACTCAGAGCTCGACTTATTGCCCACCATTACATCAGCCTCTGTGTCATCGAGAGAACCTCCTTCACTTGAGTAACCATTCTGGGCAAGAACGGGGACATTCTTCTCACTTACACACACGTCTCTCCCATCCTCCTGAGCGCCTTTACTTGGCTTCAGATCCCCGCGTCTGACGTAATCCTCAGACAAGTGAATCTTGGCAAAGTTACCCAGAAGTTTGCTGACGCTCTGTTGGGTGTCGCTGCAGGTCTGCGCCAAGCAATCCTTCAAGTTCTCCAGGCGAACTTCCAGTCTGCTGCTGAGAGACACCGTCTGGCTGTTCTTCTTGTCCAAGGTCTTCACTCTCCCCTGCAGGGCCTCTAGCTCGTGCTGCAGTCTCAGGATTAAGGTGTTATCGTCGTTGATTTTCGTCTCGTAGTCCTCAAGGAGGCTCCTTTGAAGGTGGAGCTCCCCGGTGGTGTCGTTGAGTTTCCTCTCTATCTCGCGGATCTTGTTCTCCCCGGCCGCCTGGCGGAGGGAGAAGTCCTGCACGAAGGCCTGCAGGACCTCCCGGAAGTGTTGGTGGTCGGGGCCCGCCACAACCTGCACTTCATCCTCCTTCATTTTCTACACCACCACCACCACGTTTTCTATGATTCGTCGAATTGGTCACTTTTATCAATCTTTGCAGCGCACGACTGTTTTGTAGAATTACTCGGATCAAGCAGTCAGTTTTTATGTGTTTCTAATAACCTGTTGATGAACAATCAAACACGTGAATTACTCAATCATAACTTGTGCAGTACTGGGCTAAACAAGTGATTCTGACCAGCACAATATACATTCATTTAAATTAGACACAAATTTACACTGTTATTAAAACTTTTCGCCAGACAATAACCACAAGCCAGGAATTACTGTCAAGGTAGTGAGGCGGGTGTGCGGTGGTGTTCACTAGCAAGACACCTCGGCAAATAATTTCTTGTAGTGCCGCATAACTCTCCACCGACCACAAACTGTTGCCAAAATTTTCTGCTTTGGTCCGACATCTACTTTTGCTCGTCACTTTAACATCTTACACGATATTTATTCGTTAATTATTATCGAGAGGTCGAAAGACGTCTCTCAATCGTTCATTCAACATTTCGTGCTTCATATGAACACTTTTCAAAGCATGTAAGGAAATTTTTTCTCATTAGCATTCCTTTCAGAACATTTACAACGCACGAAAATGAGTTTAGACACTTAAGTTACACAACACAGGGAAGTAAATAAACTGAATATGTGTCTGTTTATAAATAACACGACCCATGTGGCTGGAGTGAGCTTGTGGCCGGCTGGGGCCTAGTGAGGTGTCCCCACGACTAGGCTGTCCCACGCGCCCCACCTGCTGCCTCACGCCTACCTTATCGCACCATCCACCCTCACCTCTCAATATGTTCTCCTTTTATATATACTGTCGTGATGAAAATTTCCTTTTAATCGAGGGATTTGGTTGTGGATGTATGACCGTAGATAGAACATATATACTGTTATCAAACATATGTAATGCTGTACATAACATTATGCTTATCTGTTAATTTGAACTTACTGTTCCACTGCACTGTACAGCACCAGGTACTAAACTCGATATATAATTAGTGGAATACAAGTGTATGAGTGTATCACTACATCAGCACGCCGCCACACTAGCGCCTGCCATTTGGCACGACCTGGTGACAGCCTAGCCCACCACCGCCTCCAACACGGGCACCAGCATCACCCCCGTCCTCACCTCCACCACCACAACCTCACAAACTTCCTCTACCATATATGAGTACACTGATGACCACATGTCTTACAGTGCTAAGCCTTTAACCAAGACACTCCAGTATATGGCTGTTCCCTGACCTCTTTCCATACAACACTGTCCAATTTTAGACCCATTGGGAAAAACGGAGGGAGCTTATGCTGTCACCAGGTGTGTGTCCGTATATATATATATATATATGTGTGTGTGTGTGTGTGTGTGTGTGTGTGTGTGTGTGTGTGTGTGTGTGTGTGTGTGTGTGTGTGTGTGTGTGTGTGTGTGTGTGTGTGTTTCACTGCCTAATTGTCCCTGCACATATTTTCCTAAACAACCTACTCTATATTAATTATAAGTTTGTTCCTTAAGATACTTCTTATATGGTTTGCACTTGCGTGTTATTCGGATTCTCAATGTAATAAGACTCGGAGGTGAGGCCGTGACGAGGGTGGTCAGTCAGTGACGACCAGGGATAATTTACGATGGAGACGTCTCTCACACTCCTCCACATTACATTCTTTCACTGCTCTACAATCACTTCACATCACTGCATTAGTAATTTCCTGCTCTTTCACCGCACCACTGCCATTCACGGTCATTGTCCACACGGCCACTGTGCCAACATCACCACTATCACCATCACTGCAGCACCAGTAACCACAGCAGCAACACCGTCGTCCACTTCGGGCGACCAGGGCAGTGCTGTTCGTTCTCCTGGTGGTGAAAGCTGGTGTTGGCGATGTGCCCCCTTCCCTTCCCTCCTCGTGGCCTCGGCTCAGTCCCTCTGCCTACACACTCTACAGCTGGAACCTAAAAATAACCACTTCGATGATTCGCACCTTGTCGAGGGCGTCGCTGTGTGTGTGTGTGTGTGTGCGCGAGAGAGAACGTAGAAAGTCGTGTTCGCCGCACCCTGGTTCTTGGCACTGCGTCGCTCTTCTGACTTCTGCCTCACGCGATACTACACTGTCTAACACCCCACCGGCACCCACCACTACCACCACCGTCAGGAGCTACCACAACCTTCTAGTGCGTCCTCCCTCTTGCGTCACCACCACACCACATGAACGTCACTTCCACAAGCTTCTAGTACCTCCCTCCTGCGTCCCCCACCTCACCGCCACACCACGTCACCGCCACACCACGTCACCGCCACACCACCTCACCGCCACAACACGTCACCACAAGCTTCTAGTACCTCCCTCCTGCGTCCCCCACCTCACCGCCACACCACGTCACCGCCACACCACGTCACCGCCACACCACCTCACCGCCACAACACGTCACCCGCCACACCACGTCACCGCCACACCACATCACCGCCATATCACGTCACCACCACACCACGTCACCGCCACACTACGTCACAACCACACAACGTCACAACCAATACCACGTCACCGCCACACTGCTGCCAACCACACCACGTCACAACCACACCACGTCACCGCCACACCACGTCACCACCACACCACGTCAACGCCACACCACGTCACACACACCACTCACCACTTCACCACGTCACCACCACACCACGTCACCACCACACCAAGTCACCACTGGCACCACATCACTGCCACACCACGTCACTATTACCGATGTCACCACCACACCACGTCACTGCCATATCACGTCACCACCACACCACGTCACTTAACTTAACGTAACCTAAATCCTAACCTGGAGAGAAGGGGAGGGATGGAGGGAGAGAAGGGGAGGGATGGAGGAGAAGGAGGGATGGAGGAGAGAAGGGAGGGGTGGAGGAGAGAAGGAGAGGGATGGAGGAGAGAAGGGAGGATGGAGTGAGAGAAGGGGAGGGGATGGGAGGAGAGAAGGGGAGGGGATGGAGGAGAGAAGGGGAGGGGTGGAGGAGAGAAGGAGAGGGATGGAGGGAGAGAAGGGAGGATGGAGGAGAGAAGGGGAGGGGATGGGAGGAGAGAAGGGGAGGGGATGGAGGAGAGAAGGGGAGGAAGGGAGGAGAGAAGGGGAGGATGGAGGAGAGAAGGGGAGGGATGGAGGAGAGAAGGGGAGGATGGGAGGGAGAGAAGGGAGGGTGTGGAGGAGAGAAGGGAGGGGATGGAGGAGGGAGGGGGAGGGGATGGGAGGGAGAGAAGGGGAGGGGTGAGGAGAGGGAAGGGAGGGATGGAGGGAGAGAAGGGGGAGGGGTGGAGAGGGAGAAGGGGAGGGGATGGAGTGAGAGAAGGGGAGGGGTGGAGTGGGAGAGAAGGAGGGGATGGAGGAGAGAAAGGGAGGTGGAGGAGAGAAGGGAGGGATGGAGGAGAGAAGGGAGAGGGGTGGAGGAGAGAAGGAGGTGGAGTGAGAGAAGGGGGAGGTGGAGTGGGAGAGAAGGGAGGGGACAGTGAGAGAAGGAGGGGTATGGAGAGAAGGAGGGGATGGAGGAGAGAAGGGGAGGGATGGAGGAGAGAAGGAGGGATGGAGGAGAGAAGGGGAGGTGGAGGAGGAAGGGGAGGGTAGGAGGAGAGAAGGGGAGGGGATGGAGGGAGAGAAGGGGAGGGGGTGGGAGGAGAGAAGGGGAGGGATGGGAGTGAGAGGAAGGGAGGGGTGGGAGGAGAGAAGGGGAGGGGATGGGGAGAGAAGGAGAGGGGTGGAGGAGGTGATGGGAGTAGAGGGGGAGGAGGTGGATGGGAGGGGAGGAGGTGGGAGGAGAGAAGGGGGGAGGAGGGGGAGGGAGGGGGGAGGGGTGGAGGGAGGGAGGGGGAGGGAGGAGGGAGGGAGGATGGGATGGAGGAGGGGTGGGAGGAGGGTGGGAGAGGAGAGAAGGGAGGGGGGAGAGAAGGGAGGATGGAGGAGAGGGGAGGGGGGAGGGGATGGAGAGAAGGGGAGGGGATGGAGGAGAGATGGAGAGGGGGTGGGAGAGGGGTGGGGAGGGGAAGGGGAGAGGAGGGGGAGAGGGGAGGGGTGGAGGATGGAGGGGGAAGGGGTGGGAGAGAAGGGAGGGGTGGAGAGGGTGATGGGAGGTGGGGAGGGGTGGGGAGGGGAGGTGAGGGAGGGGGGGGGAGGGGGAGGAGGTGAGAGGAGGGTGATGGAGGGGTGAGGAGGGGAGAGAAGGGGAGGATGGGAGGGAGAGAAGGGGAGGGATGGGGAGGAGAGGATGGAGGTAGAGGGATGGAGGAGAGAAGGGGAGGGGTGGGAGGAGAGAAGGTGGAGGGATGGAGGAGAGAAGGGGAGGGGTGGAGGAGAGAAGGGGAGGGGATGGAGTGAGAGGGGAAGGAGGATGGAGGAGAGAAGGGGAGGGGATGGAGGATAGAAGGGGAGGTGGAGGAGAGATGCGGGGAGGATGGAGGGAGAGAAGGGGAGGATGGAGCGAGAGAAGGGAGGGGTGGAGGAGAGAAGGGGAGGGGTGGAGGAAGAGAAGGAGAGGGGTGGAGTGAGAGATAGGGAGGACAGGAGGAGAGAAGGGAGGGATGGAGTGAGAGAAGGGAGGGATGGAGGAGAGAAGGAGGGATGGAGGAGAGAAGGGGAGGGATGGAGGAGAGAAGGGGAGGGGATGGAGGAGAGAAGGGGAGGGATGGAGGAGAGAAGGCGAGGGGTGGAGTGGAGAGAAGGGGAGGGATGGAGGAGAGAAGGGGAGGGAGGAGGAGAGAAGGAGGGTGGGAGGAGAGAAGGGGGGAGGATGGAGGAGAGAAGGAGGATGGAGGAGAGAAGGGGGGAGGGATGGAGGAGAGATAGGGGAGGGATGGAGTGAGAGAAGGGGAGGGATGGAGTGAGAGAAGGGGAGGGGTGGAGTGAGAGAAGGGGAGGGATGGAGTGAGAGACGATTTTATATTATGGGTGGAAATAAATAAAGACAATGTTATGGATTTCTTGAAAGGAAATTTTAAAGCAATTGGAGTGAGAAAAAAACATGGCTTTGTCTTCCTTTATATTTATTTCCCCCTGATTCCTTTTCTTCCTCCTCCTTTTCTTATGTTAATCTGTTTTTCTCTGCCCTTCTCTCTTTTCATTTACTTTTAGCATTCCTTCAGACGAATGTGCTTTTGCAGTTTACATTTTCTCCAAATTGTAATGCAAGCCCACAAAAAAAATAGGATAGAAACCCATAAATAATATTAAGTTTTCTATGAGGAATATTTCGCTTCAACAGAGAATTTTTAGGGTAAACTTTGTTATTGTTGTGCGGTCCCTATATACGCAAAATATTCGATGGAATATCACTGTGTCGTTGTATGTGTGTAAAATACAGTAAGGCAGAATAAGATTTCCATTTGTTTGAGGTTTCTTCAATCTATTCTATTATTGGTTCAGCATGTTCGCCTCCTGTGGTAAGACTGACAAGGAACCTGTCTCGAATCTGACTTGACTGTAGCCTGGTACAATTCTGCTGTTTTATCTCATTTGCGTCAATACTGTTCTAGTTTGTGAGGCCTAGGGAGGGGGTCCAAGGGGGCGCAGTAACACCCCCCCCCCCACCCCGATTAGGAGGTCAGGTAAGATCATTTGCAAGGGAAATGGCATTACAGTTAGGTGAAGTTAGATAAGGTTAGGGTAGGTTTTGTTAGGTTAGCTTGTTTAATCATTAGGTGAAATAAGCTGGGATGGCTGATCTTCAGGTGATTCATTTAATGTTATCCTAGATCTTAGCCATAATAATATTTAACCATGAAGTAACTGTATAATTGGTTTGGTTAGGTTAATATATTGCATTCAATACCCTGTGTGTGAAATGTATAACAAAATACGATCCACTGTATGTATACACGAATACTTTATACATTATATCTCTCTCCCATGTATGATCAACGTTGACTCATACCAAATACACAAACATCTCTCTGTTATCTATCGTGAATCGCGTCGACCCATCTATCTGTGTTTGTTTGTTTGTTTACGTTCGGTGAAGGCGTGACTCATGCCCAGCTCAACCCCTCTGTCCACCTGCTCCTGCACTCACAACTGATTGAACTTCTGATCTTACTCTCAGTGATAATAAAAGTACTACTGCTGTTTCTACTAGTGAGATATTATTCAGTGCAACGTTGGGTAGTGTAGCAGGTGAGGTGGTGCGTTGTGGTAATGGTGGCGTAGTGGTGATGGTGGTGAGGGAGGGAGGGGGGGAGTTCTCAGAAGATGCGTAACAAGCGAGTCTCAAGAGAATAAGAACAGGTCACTGCCTTTACCACTGATGTTCTGAGCTGTGGCTTTTACACACACACACACTGTCACTATACACACACAGGCTTATGTATATTAAAGTCCCTCACACACACACACACACAAACAAACATGAATATTACATATACAGGTATATATACATACCGTATATATATATATATATATATATATATATATATATATATATATATATATATATATATATATATATATATTATACGCCCACAACTACCCAATAGCCCCCGACCAGTGTACAAGGCGATTCCCGGCGTCCAACCTTTATAGTAATAATATTTGTAAAGTTCGCGATTGTGTGGGTGGGAGGAGGAGTTCAGAGTGAGCAAGGTCCGGCTCGTGTGTGTGTATGTGTGTGTGTATGTGTGGCACTCAGTCTGTTAAGCATGTCCGTCTTGATACTCGGTTGCCCGTGGCTGTGGTCGATAACAGATTCATTGTTTTGTACGTCCCGCCAAGGCTTTGGGGGCGGGGCTAACGCGTGTGCTGGGCAAAATAACAATTTGCACATGTTACTGTTCATTCTTTATATTGTTTCGGCTACATTGGGGTAGTTATTGGAGATTTTTATAAGTCAATTTTAATAAACATAGATTAGTGTTTTGTTTTATATCTAACTTAAAATATGTTTGACAGTATGATATGTAATTCAAAATGCTATTTGGAGTTTTTAGCTCGTAAAGTCGATAAGAGATTTGATAGTGAGCGAAAAATTCGTGGTAGTACGTCACCAAAACCGAGTTGCTGATTGGTTGGTAGTTGTGCCGCCAGTCACAGACAATGTTTTGTTTTGGAACACTCGGGCTGACTTTCTTGACACTACCTAGGGTTTAATTTTGTGGACTGGACGTAATTTTCGTGACATAGTGTGAACATGGGGCCACACGATCACCTCGAACAAGACGACGTGTCCGAGGCCTACTCAGAAGAGACGCTATCAAGATGCAACAGTGCAGAGAAATTAACATTTACAGTGCTTGGAGACGGATTGGTAGAAGAAAGATTCCGTGTTGATAGAAGGAAACTTGAGGCCATGATTTTGGGTATGTGACACATTCTCATTGATCATTGTAAAACCTCAAAAACTGTATGTTGTACGAAATTTAATGTACAGATTGATAGGTTAATGCATGACCGTTCTTAGAAGCGGCGGGTTAGAGGTTGTTTAGTTGTTTGAAACTGAGGAATGGGTGATTTAGGGTAAAGTTCTTAACCTTGAAAGTTTTCATTTATCGTTTCATTACCGTGTAAGTGCTAAATAGAAGCTCTATTGTCCTCACTGCTGTCAGTCGTCCCTCTACCGTATAATGCCGTACTTAAATATTCCCATGACAGAATGTTGCAACTAGCTATATGTTTCAGATAGCAAACGTGACGAGTATATTTAGCTTATGACTAATTGAAGAGAAGTAAAAAGGTGATGCATATGTTGTGGTGTGTTAATAAACGATGTTGGGGTTAAAAAAAACATTAATGAGAAAGTGGAAATTACGATAATAGCAAAGATACTTGGATAGAGATTAGCGGTAAAGATGCGACCAGTAGCACAGTGCCTTGGTTCAACACCACGGTGATGCAACAGCTGAATCATATATCCTAGGCATTCACTTTTAGTTATACGATAAGTTGTATTTGGGGGTGTATGGATTAGTGCCTATGTACATGTGGGTTCTGTTTGTGTGTACATGTGGGCGGGGTATGTAGTGAGTAACGCCCTGCAGTTTGTCATGGTTACCAGAAGTGATTTACAAAGACCATTGAACAACCAGGCGCCATGACCCGCTGCTACTTCACGGTACACCTCCCCACCTGTCTATCTTATCATGGCATTATGCAAGGAAGTTCTCTGAAAGTTTGTATTTAATCTTTATTAGGGGTTTGAGGGAGATTAAGGGTACAGTAGTGTACATAGATTCGTTAAGTAATAAACCGCTATGATACGACAAGCTTACTGGTTGATGGTTCTGAAATAATACCTGACAGGTTAACAACACTATCCCCCGCCCCCCACCTTTGTATCCACGACTTGAAGGTATTGCTTGTATAGTTTACTTATGAACGAGGCAAAAACCCAAACACCGTCGCCATGGTGAACTGTGTACTGCCAAGCTAGCCTGGACAGGAAATTGCACCGCGACATTAATTTGATTCACTTGTTGCATTTTCGTAGTTGTTGTACCTCCTGTGGATTAAAAATAAAAATAAAACAATAATATAAACACAGTGAGAGATCAGATAGTGGATTGAAAGGGACAGGAATCAGTCAGTGTTGTGTGGTTCACCTTCCGCCTCAATACACGAAACTGTTCAGTGACGTGACGATAACGTAGCAATGTAAACAAACATTTCCCACACGCGAGTCTCTTGAGGTTGACATACCGCAGCGAGGTGTGGTGGTTGTGATGATGGTTGTGGTTGTGATGAATGTGATGGCTATGGCTGTGATGGCTGTGGTTGTGATGATGATGGTGGTGGTGGGTGTTATGATGGTGATTAGGATGATGGTTGTAGTGGTGGTTGTGATGGTGGTGGTGGTGATGATGATGGTTGTGATGGTGGTTGAGATTGGTTGTGATGGCTGTGGTTGGGATGATGGTGATGGTTGTTTGTGGTGGTTGTGATGCTGGTTATGATTGTGATGGCTACGATGATGGTTGCTGTGTTAATGATGCTGGTTGGTGTGATGATTGTGGTTGTGGTGATAGTGGTTGTTATGGTGATAGTGATGCTGGTTATTGTTAGGTTAGTGATGATGGTAGTAGTTGTGGTGAGGTTGTTTCTTGTGATGGTGGTTGTTGTGACGATGGTGGTTGTTGTGACGAAGGTGGTTGTGGTAATGATACGGGTTGTTATGATAGTTATGGTTTTAATTTCTATATAGTTTTGATAGCTGTGGCTTTATGGTGGTTGTAATGGGTTGTTGTAGTGGTTGTGATGCATGTGGCCTGTTGTAATGATAAAAGGTTAGGTTAGGTCTGATCTAAATCTAAAATACCCGCCAATAATGTAACTAACCTAACCTAACACTAACCCAGTACGAATTACCTTCATATGTGTTACGGGTTCATAAGCATTTTTATGAATGAAGTACAAAACAAAAAATGAGAATATACCTACGTGAGGATATGTAACCCTGATGTCTTCATTAATTCCTATTGTACTAAACGTTTGCCTTGTGGTGTTATTATTTCATGGAGGTTTCTGCGCTCTTTGACTCCCCCCACCGCCCACACGCACAAAAAGAAGAGTTGAGATAAACGATGGAAAGATAAACAAAAAAAGGATGGAAAGATGACGGTGGAAGACATAAAAAAAGGTTATTTTTGCCTGGGTCGTGTAACTAAAGAAGCCAGACAGTTAATCAGATTAATCTCTTGACTGTGGTGTAGAGTGCTACTTACCGCCTATCTCTTTTAAGTGTCATACAGTGTAGAGTTCCTAGTTGGCACGATGCTGTAATGTTTTTTATATCTCAATAAACGTATCAATCACGATGCTGTGGGTGTAAAGACGACATTCATTGTTTACCTATTGGTCTGGTAATAACTGGCATGTGAACTTTGACCCTTAGATAAGTACTAAATATATTCAGGTGTTTGGTCAATACCGTGCTAAGTTTAAACCCTTAATATAAAAATGGGTTCACAAAAGAGGCTGTGTGGCTATCACCTCACCCATTCACAGCTGGGTGGACGTGGGGTGCCCCCGAGAGTAGAACCAGAGTACAGGACGAGCGTGTTATCCACTCAGCCACCAACCGCCAAATAATATTCCTTAAATCTGTGCTTCGTGAAATCTGTGATTCGTTAAATGTGTGGATGAGGTGTTTGTCATAATTACGTATTACTGGAGATTAGATAAAGAGTAGAGCACTGGTGTGTCCTCCAGAGATTGTGGTGGTAAGGCTCTTATTGTTTGTGACTACATAATTATACTGTACATATGTTACTGGAAAGTCCTTATCTTTATTACATTATTGTTATTATTTCTACTACTATTATTGCTATAGTAGTATATCTCTTGATTTATGCATTTGTATTACAATACAGTATGATTTATTATGATTTAATTCGTGTATGGTTTATTGTGGTTTCCGTGCATTACCGTCATGTACTGTACTGTAGTTTCCTCTGGTCAAGATTTTATATAGGATATAGTAGTTATAACACAATGGTCAAAATGCACAGATGCAGTTTCTACAAATTATTCACCAAACGTTACGAAATTCTGAGAGGAAAGAAATCATCTATCTGCAAGGGGGTCCGACTAATTACCCAAATGTACCCAAATGTAGCCGCAATGAAGTTAAATAATGGTTCTCCATGAATAAATCGGACTGCTAATCAAACAGGGAGGTACTACCGCCTGGGAGAATATTGGAAGCATAATGTGTTGTCTAATGGTAGACCCTGCTGCCATATGGCATCACGAATATTGTGACCAAGTCCCAGGTTGCTGATCTGTCTTTCTGCCTCGTTTACACACAATTGCAGGATCTCAATTGTTTCTCTTACTATTGACAAGACAACATACTGTACATATAGCGTTTCTAACTATTGATTATTATTATTTTTTCTTATCATTATTACAGTATTATTATTATTATTATTATTTTATTTTACTTTTAATTATAAATTTTATTTACTATGAATTACTATTATTATTAGTATTAAATTTTCGCCCCCCAGGCCCCGATGTGGGTCAGTGACCTGTGCCCAGGTGGGCTAATCCCCTTAAAAAAAATAAAATAAAAAAATTAGTCGGACCGTCTGCAAGGAACGTTTTCTGTGTTGTACCGCTTTCATGTCCACCATTTATTATTTATACATACGGCTCCCGTGTTTATGCTTGCGTGTTTGTTTACTTCACGATCTCTGAAAAGTTAGAGTGAGGGGGAGGGGGGGGTTTTAGACAGGAGCTTTGGAGTTGATGTGATGATCTTTAGAAATGCCTTGGTAAGATTCTACAGTATGTCGACCCAAAACATGAAAGATTCCGTTTTCTTTAATCAAATTTAGATTATTTACATTGGTTGAAAAGTTAAGTTTTTTGCTGTTGTGCCTTATTATCTAAAACTTTAAATACTTTTGAAGCCTCATTGAGTTACAGATTGCAGTGTGCGTGTGTCATAGAGCAATTTACCATGTTAAATATTCTCACAATTAACTTCAGATATACCTCCTGTACAGGTAGTTATAGTGAATTTATAAAGGTATACAGGCGGTGGTGATATTGCAGGTGGCGTGTATGGTGGCGTAATCGTTATCACAACTTATTGATATGATACCTTTTATTCCGAGCCCGATATTATTTTCTGGGTGTAACCAACGGGTGGTGGGTGGGGGGGAGGGTTGGTGGTGGATGAGTGATGGGTGTGTGTGTGTTAAGATATTTAATTTTCCCACAAAAAAAATTCGGGCAAGCAAATTTCCTCCAATAATTTTACAGTTAAAAAAAAATCATTAATTGTTGTAATATTTTGTTTTCTTTACCTTTTAAATTACATCGCAATAATTTCCTTTTTATTTATTATATATATCCCTATTATTATTCTCTCTGTGCTGTATTTATTTTACAGTGTTCCATCCCATTATTTATTTATGTAAGCTATTGTTCTGGGTTCTCGGAAAAAATGGCACAATTTCCATACTAGGACAAAATGGCACAACAAATTTCACTTCGAGCTCACGAACCACAAACGAACTTAAGAGCTAACGAACCTGTTTGAGGCGAGTGCAGGACAAAAGCCCTCAACCGTCATATTCTGTGAGGTTATCATTGTCATATTTACTTGGTTAAGTGAGGTCGTCCTCTGTGGGTACATTGTGTTAGGTCACCTCACGTGGGGTCATGTTTTATGCTATGACGTTGATATAACTCAAAGTAACATACGTTATAAAATTTTAGCGAAAACCTGTAAAAAATTCACGATGTGCCATTTTGTCCTAGTCTCATGATTTTGCATTTTTTTCGGGTGCCATATTTTTCCTGTGCCATTTTTTCCTACATTCATTGTTCACAGCTACCACTAGAGAGCTCCGAC